TTTTACAGATGAGGAAACTGAAGCAAACAGGGTGAAGTGACTTGCCCAGGGTCACACAACTAGGAAGTGTCTGAGGCAGGATTTGAATTCAGGAAGATGTGTCTTCCTGACTCCAGGCCTGAAATTAGGTCTATCCACTGTAGCACCACCTAGCTGCCCAATCCATATTTCTAGCCTCATTATCCACTATTCCCTCTTCCTGTACTCTGTGGTCTAACTAGAGTGCCCTTCTCTTTGTACCTTACACATAATTCCTCATTTCCCATCTCCGTGCTTTTGCACTAGTCATCACCCTAGCCTAGAATGCTCTCCCTCCTTTTTTTTTAGGCAATGGGGGTTAAATGACTTGCCCAGGGTCACACAGCTAGTAAGTGTCAAGTGTTTGGTCTGAGGCCAGATTTGAACTCAGGTCCTCGTGACTTCAGGGTTGGTGCTCTATCCACTGTGCCACCTAGCTGCCCCTTCTCCCTCCTTTTATAGCCCCTCTTTCTTCAGGGCACAGCCCAAACACAACCCTCTGACATCCCCACCTGCTAGTGCCCCCTCCTCCAAACAAAATTGTATCTGACTATAGCAGACTTCTATATGTTCTTCTCATCTCCCCTGATAGAATGGAGTCCCCTTAAAAGTAGGAATTATTCCATTTATATTTGTTTCTCTAACATCTAGCCCAGCATCAGGCATACTATAGGTGCTTAATCAATGCTTATTGATTATAATTTTAGTGATTTTGAATATAATGGAATATTATTGTACAGTAAGAGACAATGATTATGAGGAATTTGGAGAAACATGGGAGAATGTGTATGAATTGATTCAGACTGACAAGAGAAATATATATATGTTTACATTAAGAAATATATATATGACAAGAGAAGGATATGTTTACATTGTTGTAGTCATATGTATATGTATGTATATATGGATGTATATGTATGTATGCAGTCATATACACACATATATACATATGCATATATACATACACACACAGATATGTGTATACATATGACTGCAACCATGTAAATGAATAGATTGCTAGATGGAAATCAGACCCTGAGTGAATGATTGAAGAACCAGACAGTCCCAGAGAGAGCATACAATGAAACACTATAGTAGAGAGGCTGGTGCTCTGATGACAGATGATCTACACTGTTAGATCTGGTGGAGAATATGTTGGAACGGGACCTTGTTTTGAGGGACCAATTCTTAAGATGTGTGAAAGAAGACATGAAAAGTGGAAAAGGTCTCGGACAAAATCTATGTTGGATGGTGGTGTTCATTTATTTATTTATTTATTTATTTATTTATTTATTTATTTATTTATTTATTTATGATGATACTGAGGTTTCGTTGGGGGTGGGGGTGGTATTGAAATGACTTCACTGCAAAGAGAAAAAACATGGATAAAATGGGTTGTTTTTTTTTTTTTAAGCCAGAAGGAATAAGGGAAGGGATATGCATCCAGAGCTCCAGTTCCAGTTCTCAGAGGACGTCTTTCCTCCTGGTCTTGATCCCATCTCTGCTTTCCCATCTGGGTCACCTCTGTTGGTTGGTGTCTGGTCGCTTTTTCCCTGGCCCCTTGAGGCTTGGGTAATAGCTGCTGTAAGCCACAGTCCTGCTTTGCCTTGTAGAAAACCTCAGCAGTTCTAATTCAAGGGCAGCTGTGACCCACAGAGGCCCGCCCAGCAATCAGTGGGTCTGGCTGCAAGGGCAGTCAATGATCACTCCAGTCCCCAGCTTGGCAATCAGAAAGCCTGTCTCAAAGGCAACAGAAGGAAAGGGAAGCAGCTGGTGCCGGGCACCAGTGTATAGATCGCGTGGCTTATTCCTTTTTTGTGGGCTCTGGACAGTACATTTTCCCTGGCCTCCTCCTGCCCAGAAAAAGATGGAGCAATCTCACTTCCCACTGTCTCATAATTCTCCCTCTCTGGAAAATTCTAGGCCCCTTGAATCCCCAAAAAGATGAAAAGGCAACACAGAAATAGCTACTATGCATTTTTCCAGAAATCTTCTCGGATTTTTGATGTGTGCACAAGAGACACTGTATATTACAGGAAGGCCTTTAAGGCGGCCTTTTGCTCTATCAAAGTCAACAGACAAACCCAGTGTATTCTCTCCACTGTTCAGTCAGTTGTGTAATTATAAAGATGTGGGCTGCTGTAGAACATCGTTTGTAAAAACTCGCTCATTCTTTTCTCAAATTTTCATCAAGGATGTTGTATGTGTAGCTTATTTTTGTTAAAAGGAAAAAAAAGCAGAGATGGAAAAAATAGCCATATTCTCTTCGGTTTTTGGTTGGGGGGGGGAGGCATGAGGAAGAGTGTGGATAATAAGGTCTGAGATTTTTTTCCCAAGATTGTTTCCACTTTTCATGTTTTCTCTCAGATATCTTGAGAATTGATGCCTCAAGATTGTGTCCCTCCTCCAACACATTCTCTGTTATCATTCATTTCAATGTTAATTTCTCTATCCATGTCCCATTTCTGATACCAGTGGTTTAGGTCTTATTGATGTCTTTTTTTGGCATTACCATCGTTTCTCCCAGTGTTCTTTCCCTTCCCTCTTCCAGAGAGCTATCCCATAGAATAAATAGCATGGGTTTTTTTTGTTGTTTTTTTTTGGGGGGGCAAGGCAGTTGGGGTTAAGTGACTTGCTCAGGGTCACACAACTAGTGAATATCATATGTCTGAAGTCGGATTTGAACTCAGGTCCTCTTGACTCCAGGGCCAGTGCTCTATTTACTGCGCCACCTAGCTGCCCCAATAAATAGCATTTTTAAGGCAAAAGAAGAAAAAGAATGGGGGAAAAATCAACATAACCGATCAATATGTCCAGAAAGTCTGAATATATGTGTAATGTACCTCCCACCTCTGCAGAGGGGTAGGGTGGGGACGGGACCTTCTCATATCTCTTCTGAACCATGCTTATTCTCTGTAATTTTGCAACATTCATTTTTTTTTTTTTTGGTGTGTATTTCGTTCTTTCCATTTACATTGTGGTAGCCATTATGGATATAGGGCAGCTAGGTGGCAAAGTGGTTAGAGCACTGAGCATAGAGTCAGAAAAATCTGAGTTCAAATGTGGCCTCAGATACTTAACTAGCTGTGTGACCTTGGGCAAGTCACTTGACCCCTGTTTGCCTCGGTTGCTCATCTGTAAAATAGGGACACATTGGAAAAGGGAATGGCAAACCATTCCAGTATCTTTGCCAAGAAAACCCCATGGGTAACATCCAGGGGGTCATGTAGAGTCGGATACAACTAAACAACTGAACAACGACAATAAACCATTGTGTATATGTTTTTAGGTTCTGCTTACTTCACTCTACAACAATTCATATAGCTCTTTCCATGCTTCTCTGTATTTATCACATACATAATTTCTTACAACACAGTAATATCTTTTACATTCATGTTTAGATTTACATTCATTCAATTTGTTTAGCCATTATCCAATCGATTAACATCTACTTTGTTTCTAATTTTTTACTACCCAAAAAGTGCTGCTACAAATATTTTGGTGTATGTGGGGACTTTTTTCTCATCGATGGCCTTCTCGGAGTCCTAGTCTAGTAGTGGAATCTCTGGGTCAAAGGTTATGAACATTTTACACTTTATTTGAATAATTCCAAACTGCTTTCCGAAATGGTTATACTGATGAACAGTTCTACCAACAATGCTCCAGTATGCCTATCTTCCCACAACCCCTTCAACATTGACTATCCCCATCTTTGGTCATCTTTACAATAACTAGTTTAAAAAGGTCAGTTTGGAGTTTTTAAAATTTATACCATCATCATCATCATCATCATCATCATCATCATCCATAGCATTTAGATAGTGCTGTAAGGCTTGCAAAGTGCTTTACAAATATTATCTCATTTTATCCTCACAGCAACTTTGGGAGGTAGGTGCCATTATGATCCCCATTTTATAAATCAAGAAACTGAGGCTGAGAAAGATTTTAGTGATTTGCTCAGGGTGACACAACTAGTAGAATCTGAGATAGAATTTGAACTCAGATCTTCCTGATGCTAAGTCCAGTGCTGTGCTGCCTAGTGCATTTTTTAATTTCTTTTTCTACCTTTGTACTGTTTTAGGTTTTTGCTCTAACAATTTAATGATCTGACTCAGCACAGACAGCTGATTCTGAAATGATTCCTACACCAGTAATGAGTCTTTTCCTGTTGATTAAAATATAATTAGTTTGATGTGTGAGGGGGGGGATATTTGTTGCCAGCAGGTTTTGATTTTTTCTCAAAGAGAGTATTTGTGCTGTTGGGACATGAGACTTCTCTAAGTTATTGGCTTCTTTCATTTCTTATTCCTGACGCATATTTTCCAACATATTTTTCTCCAACCTTCCCCATGCTCACCTTTGCATTGAAATCACCCATTATTGGCATACATGTTGATTTAATTTTGAGCGTGTTTTTGATTTCTTCATAGAATTCAACTTCCTCTTTATTCTCAGCAACAGATGTTGATACATAAACTGCAATTATTTTCATGGTGGTTGTTCTGCGAATACTTACCATGAGCCCTGCAATGCAGGCTGACCAAAATGTCCTGTGAATTGAAGTTTCTGGTTGCCTCTGGATATACAATAAAATCAGCTCTGCCACCTCCTTTATCTGCCTCTCCCTGGAGAACCTGTGAGCCACCTGTCTATTTTGTTCCAATTTTCTTTTGCCTTCTGGCTTCATTTATAGTGAGAATGGCATGATTGATGAGATTCCCTATCTTCGGTAATGTGTCCAAGTGTTGGTCATCGGACGAGGAGGTCGCATTGAGAGTACCATTAACCAAATGAATATTTATCAATGGTCGACAAACTGTGATTTTTAGGACCTCCATCCCCTTTTCTTACCACTCTCCCTGTGTCCCCAGTGATGCAGAGGGACTGAGGCAGCACAGGCCTGAGGACCATATGTATACACATGCTGTATGTACAAGGATGTGTTGGGGTTGAGAATAACCCTTCTCTTTCTTTTTCTAAAGGCTTGCCATGGGTGTTCATCTGGACCCAAGTGTGACTGCAGTGGAATAAAAGGGGAGAAGGTAAGGCCCTAAAGGGTCTTGGTAAGTTGTTCAGAACGTCTATCAAGACATCTGTTGATGTAATACTTTGTTCTTTGTTCTTTGTCATTTTCTTTTCTTGCTTTTATTTCTTTTCTTTCATTGCATCTAGTTCTAATCACCTGACTGAAACACTTTTCCTTTAAACAAGTGTGAGCCTCCCCAACCACAGATGTACTTACAGATCCTTTACAGAGACATTTATGCCTGATATTTATTTGAACAGTGAATCATGGACATGAACAGGACCATGGTGGGGGTGGGGGGAGGCTGCAAAAGCGCATGAATGGACCTAACATCTGGAATTCCAGCTTCCCATGCCATCACATGGGCTAAGATGAAGCTACGTTTTGTATTGGTGACTTTGCTGTGGTCCTTGCTCAGTTTCATAAGGCAGGAAGTACAGGTTTTCTATTGGCTAGTTCTCATGCCTTTTTGTATCCTACTTGGTTATCAGTACTTGAATATTTAAAGAGTTGGTAATTTCATTAGTGTGAGTAGACACTCTATATTGGGGTGTGTTGATGCCTCTCAGAGGACGATGCTATTAATCTTATGGGCTCCTCTATGTTTCCTAAAGTTTTCTAATTTCCCTGTGGCCAGGTTGAGCTCTCCTAAGAGAGTGCTGGCTACTGATGAAAATTATTAACTCCATCTGTATTCCTTAGAAGTCTGTCTGGACTTTACCATCTCTGTCCATTCCCCCCTTCCTTCATTCCATCCATCTATAAAAGATGTTTAGCAGTAGAAAATAATAAATTTGCACTCTTCCAACCTGGGATTCTTATCACCCAAGAGGACCACATCTTCAGTGAGATAATTGAGTCTGTCCTGACCCCAGCTTACTACCTGTTCGACCTTGGGCAAGACATTTCTTCTCCCTGGGCCTCAGTTTCCTCCTCTGCAAAATGAAGAGTTTGGACTGGATGGTTTCTAAAGTTTTTTTCAGCTCTAGACTTAGAATCCTGTGTGTGATATAGGACAAGTCACTTAGCCTTTCTGGGTCTGTTTCCTGTTCGGTAAAATAAATGAGTGGTTTGTACGAGATGGCCCTTCAGCTCTAGATCTCAAATCCTATGATCCATCCTTAATTGACAGATAAATTAGTCTGATTCTGGATTTCAGGGCACAGAAGCATCCACATCTACCTTCACTCTATAACATTTATACTATCATGGGGCAGCTAGGTGGCGCTGTAGTAGATGGACCACCAAGCCAGAAGTCTGGAAGACCTGTGTTCAAATCCAGCCTCATACACTTACTAACTGTGTGACCCTGGGCAAGTCACTTAACCCTGTTTGCCTCAGTTTCCTCAACTGTAAAATTGGGATAATAACAGCATCCACCTTACAGGGTTGTTTTGAGGATCAAATGAGATAATCATCTTAAAGTGCTTAGCACAGTATCTGGCACATAGTATTATATAAATATTAGCTATTGTTATTATTATTATTATTATAATAACATACAACTCCCCTAGGGGACACAAATACCAAAAACAAGTATGTATTCACTATTATTAAGTGAAGTCAACAAGCATTTATTAGGTAATTACTTAATAGCAAGGCACTATGCTAAGTGCTAGGGATACAAATACAAGCAGAAAGACAATTCCTGCCCTCAAGGAGCTTACAACCTAATGAGGGAAGGCAGTGAAGAAAAGGCAATTGAAAAGGGGTTGAGGGAAGGTGCTGGCTTAGGGAGGTGGTAGAGAAGGTCCAGAAAGAGCCTGGAGAGGAATGTTGACATAGCTGGCCTGGGCATTTTCCTTAAAATAGGCCTGGTTCTGTGAAATGAAGCCTCCTGTATAGTTCCAGGTTTGTGAACTGACTATCCAAACTCTCATTTGATTCAGAGTGGCCTGAGACGTGGGCTGGGATCTCTGCATTTTGATTATGATGTAGAGAAAATAAACCAGAGCCTTCTGCAATTGTACTAAGGGTCTGTTAACTGACCCCAAGTACCTGGGAACACTAATCACAAGTAGGTCAGGTAACGAACTACAGCTCCTGGGATTTGTTAAGTTTCTTCAGACCTGGGCACCATATTCAAAGATTCATGAGTAATTCTTGCTGTTCGTCTATACCAGTGCTTCTGAGCCTTGGCCAATGAACTTATTTTTTAAAAAATATGTTGTTGACTGTATTTCAAAATAATTAGCTTCCTTTGTAATCTGTATTTTATATTATTCATTTAAAAACATGATTCTGAGAATGGGTCCGTAGGCTTCACTAGACTGCCAAAGTAGTCCACAACACAAAAAAGGTTAAAAACCCTTGGGCTCCCTCACTATCACCATCATCACTAGCATTTATAAAGTGCTTCAAGGCTGGCAAAGCATTTTACAAATATTATCTAAATTTATCCTCACAACAATCCTTGAAGGTAGGTACTATTGGTCTCCCCTTTTTATAGATGTTGAAACTGAGATAGACAGAGGTTAGAAACAAAACTAGTGTTTGAGGTTGGATTTGAACTCAGGTCTTCTGGACTATAGGGCCAGTTTTCTGGACCACTGCTGCACCAGCTAGTAGCCTATCCTTGCTTCTGGTCTAATCATCCTATATCACTCATCCTGAGACCATATATATTTATTCCCCAACACGTCTTTCAGTCTGGTTCAGCAGTCCTTTCTCTGTGAAAGGTTTTACATTCGTGTTTGAAAAGTTCATTTCATATCTGATTTTTTTTTCCCTCCACAGGGAAGTATAATACTACATACACTTAACATTTACAATTTTTTTTTTTTTTGGCCAGTAAGATCTTGATCATTTTTCTAGGGCAATGGGAACTGTATGTTCAATGCCATTGACTGAATTAAAGTGAGAGTTATCTGGGTGTTTGGATTCCATTGTGACCTTGCTTTAATTTCTTTCTTTCTTTCTTTCTTTCTTTCTTTCTTTCTTTCTTTCTTTCTTTCTTTCTCTCTCTCTCCTCTCTCTTTCTTTCTTTCTTTCTTTTTCTTTCTTTCTTCCTTTCTTTCTTTTGCTTGATGATCATTTATTATTAGCAATTACAATGAAAGTTAAACCACCAACATAACAATAAAACTTCCCTAGTCTGAGACAATTAGGATTCCTAGATAGAAGAAAGAATAGAAACTACTCCCCACCTCCCACCCCTGCTTCCCAGTCTTTACCAGAGGACCCAATAAACAATAGACTACTTTGCTTGGTACTTTTATTGGTTCTACCCACTTCCTTATGCAATGGTCTTACCTTTCATTCCTTTTTTTTTTTTTCAGGGAGAGAGAGGACTTCCAGGTTTGGAAGGCCACCCAGGTTTACCTGGATTTCCTGGAGCAGAAGGACCTCCTGGGCCTCCAGGCCAAAAGGTAGGTAACAAGCAACAGACTTCTCCAGAATTGACTGATTTCAGTAGCATCAGTTGTTATGTCAGTGGTCATCAGTGATTATAGCTGGGGCCAGATACTGAAGTGAGACAGTGTCCCATCATTCATTTTTGTTTTTATTGACTAGCCCAAAGGACCATCAGGCAGTTGCAACAAACTGTATAGTTATTGTGGCCCCTCTGTCTGTCTCCTGATTTGCAAAGGTTTCCATCCATCCACGCAGCTGGGTGGTACTGCAGTGGATAGAGTGCCAGGCCTGGAGTCAGGAAGACTCATCTTCATGAGTTCAAATCTGACCTCAGATACTTAATAGCTGTGTGACCCTGAGCAAGTCACTTCACCCTGTTTGCCTTAGTTTCCTCATCTGGAAAATGAGCTGGAGAAGGAAATGGCAAACCACTCAAGTATCTTTGCCAAGAAAACCCCAAACGGGGTCATAGAGAATTGGACACGACTGAAACAATTCAACAACAACTATTCATCCAGCCATCCATTCATCCATCTATCCAGTTTTATTGATGTCTTCCATTTTTTACACAGTCACTTCCCCACGTAACTTCACATTTCCTCTCTCCCTGCCCCAGTCACAAGGAAGTGTAAGCCATGAGTAGGACCCAAAAAGATTCTACAGTTTCGATGGTACTAGGGAAGGAAGAAGTATTTCTCTGTGTATAGATTGTTGGTTAAAATCCACTCTGAGCAGGGCAGGTAGGTGGTACAGTGGATGAGCTCTGGTCTTGGAGTCAGGAGGACCTGAGTTCAAATCCAGTCTCAGGCACTTGACTCTTACTAGGTGTGTGACCCTGGGCAAGTCACTTAACCCCTATTGCCTCACCAAAAAGCAAAAAAAAATCCACTCTGACCATGGGAGACTTTGAAAGCAAACCACTTATAGTGATGTCATCCTGTGCAGAAATCAGAAGTATAGAGCCACCCAGGGAGACACACAGCCCAAGTGATTAGGACTCCCTCTGCTATACATTCTGGGGACTCTGAGGTCTGAAGAAAAACCACCAGGTGACATTTCTAATGCATGTATCCAGTGCTGTCAGGAATGATACCGTAGCTTACCCCATGCTTGGTGAGATTTGAACCAAGTGCCTGTTGACTGGTGCTTTGCATTCTCAGGAAGAGGAACAGCTGATTGGCGGAAGAAGGCCTATTGTCCAGCTATGCCCTGAGCCCAGAGTGGCTTTGATTGAAACAAGTGATGGTAAAACGGCTAGATTCAGGACCAAGATATCAGCCACGTTTTGTTAAGGACTCTTGATGTGCGTGAAACACACAAGATAATGGACTGATGGAAAGGCGCCCCATACCAAGCATGGCTGGTAGACAGTTTCTTTGCCTTCACAATAGGCCCAGAGAATTTTCAGAGCCTCATAGAGATAATGTGTCATAGCCACCTACTGCCTGTTGGAGAGTTGGTCAGACTCTCTGGTGAGCGAGGGAAAAGCAGTAATGGAAAATCAACCATGGAGTCTCTTGAGAGGAAGAGCCTGATTGTCAGTTGCTGAGGGACTGATAAATAGCTTGGATGGCTGGAACTCAGATGAGGAAGGGGTATGAGTCCTGGGACCCTTAGAGAGGCTGGCTAAGTCTTTTCTGTTCCCAGAGGGATGGCATGTTCAAGCAGGAAGGGAGGATTAAATCTCAAGGCAGTTCCTTTTCAATGGAATACTCCAGCTGTAGGCATACCTAGGCAACCGGGGAGTGTCCCAAGAGCCTGTAGCTAAGTATAGAATCTCTTAGGCCATCCATCTAGAGCTTGGGATTGGGGCTCTAGATGAAGAATTCTCCTCTGCCATTCACCAGCTCCTGAAGGCACCCTAGAAGTGCTGGCCTATTTGACCCATGACCTAGCTTGCTAATAATGCATTACGAGAAAGAAGAGAAGTGATTGGCAGATGATGCCCAGTGTAGGAACATATGAAAAATGTGCTTTGGATGTAGCTGCAACATATGTGACATGTTGTACATGACCTGTGCAGTGTTTGCTATGCAGTGTTTTTACGTCTGTGTTCACCTCTTTTATTGCTTCCTTCTGCTGGCATGCTACACTTTGCATGTTCTATTGCTGTATGTGTGTGTAGTATGTATTTTCATTTGGCCATTCTAAATAATGCATGGTGGCTGCTATGTGTTAGATTGTTGGCATGCACTTACATAAGCTGCATGTCTTTCCAGTGTGAATGAATTAGGCTTCAGCATGAGTATTGTGCCTTGAATCTGCAATGATAATAGTCTTCAGCAGTTATCGGCTAAATGAGAATGCACATAGATGTTTATATACACACACACACACACATATATATATATATATAAATATATATACATATGCATATACATATGCATGTATGTATGTATGCATATCCATGCATTTCCCAGGGGCTTTCATAGAGGAAGGAGGATGTAGTACCCCTTTTACTCTCTCTGGCTCTTCTCCTGCTGCATAGAGGGGTGGGGCTTTTGGCTCAATAGGGGAGCGGGAGGGTAATCAATGAGACAAGAGAACACAGAGAGGTCATGGGCCTCCATAATAGCACCTCCCTCTCAGGGTGGTTGTGAGGATCAAATGAAATGATATTTGTAAAATGCTTAGCACAGTGCCTGGCACATTTGTTGTTGTTGAGTTGTTTTTCAGTTATGCCTGACTCTTCATGACCCCATTTGGGGTTATCTTGGCAGAGATACTGGAGTAGTTGGCCATTTCCTTCTCCAGCCAGCCCATTTAACAAATGAGGAAACTGAGGCAGGCAGGGTGAAGTGACTTGCCCAGAGTCACACAGCTAGTAAGTGTCTGAGGCCAGATTTGAACTCAGGAAAATCGGTCTTCCTGACTCGAGGCCCGAAATCTGCTCTATCCACTGCAGTGCCACCTAGCTGCCTGGCACATAGTAGGTGTTTAATAAATAAACATTAGCTATCGTAATTGTTATTTTTGTTATTGATTGGTTCCAGGAGTTCTTGCAAAATGAGTCTTCACCCAGTGATTGGCTGGCACTGCTGAACTCAGGAGTCAAGTATCGATTTCAAACCAGTTTAGTGTCTACTCTCCTTTGCCTACTGGCAGGAGGTCAGGCCAAGCAGCACTAAACAAACTGAACTGTGCACTTGCTAGGGTTGCTGAGGTCGGAAGAGTTTGTCTGGGAGCTCCTGTGGGCAAGGAGTCTGGTGGATGCCTGGCCACTCAGATGTCCAATTCTGGTTTGTTGACTGTTTTTGTTTGTCCTGCAGTTAAGCATGTTTGGTTCTGTGGTGAGTGACTCCATTATGCCAAGGTCACATGCCTAGGGCTAGATTTCATTTGGCAAGGTCAGGGAGGAGCTGATTCTGAGCCACACCCTCTAGATCAAGGGTCCACAGACCCAAGATAGAGTTCAGGGGATCAATGAACTTGGATAGGAAAAATAAATGACTTCTTTGTTTCCTTAATTCTGTGTGTTTTATTTTAGGCATTTAAAAACATGATTCTGACATGGAATCCCTAGACTTCCCTAGTGGGAAGAGGCCCAGGACATAAAAAATGTTCAGAACTCCTGGTGTAGATAGTGTGACATCTTCATGGCTCTGCAGAGAGAGGCCAAACTGAGGGAAAGAGGGTTAGCTATTTTGAAAGCACCACGGGAAGCTTAGCCCTCACTCAGCATCCATGCCCTGTGGGATCAGGGCACACTCACTCTGGGGCATGAGTATGGGCTCATCGAGGCCCACATCTCTCCTGTTGAATAGGAGCAGGAAAGTAGCCATCAATATCACCTGCCACCGGACTTAAAAGAAGAAAAACAACTCACTGATTGGGTCAGCTTGCTTATCGATCAATATTTGGTATCCATAATCCCCTTTGTCCCCCCTCTCACCTGCAGGAAGAAAGAAACGGGTTTTATGGAACCAATGTTGTTGTTCCCACTGTTAGGAGCCTTCCCGAGGGAAGTCAAGGAACGGAAGTTCCTCTGTATAGGAAATATTTATAAAAACACGTTGTGGTAGTAAATCACTGGCACCACAGAGGTAGAGGAACAAAATTATTAGGGCCTGAAAAACACGATGCATAGTGGATACAATAATATCAATAAAAAGAGCAATAAAAGGAAACCTAAAACTAACACATTGTAATTAATACTGACCAGTCTTGGCCTTAGAGAAGAAATGAAGAAATGTAGCACCCTCCTTTTTTTTTTGGGCAGGTGGGAGACTATGGGTGTGGAGTGTTGCATATGCAGTCAGTTCCAGTCTCATCGTAGCTGCTAGAGGAGTGGGAGCTGGGCAGGTATATCCTGAAATAAGTGTGACTTCAACCAGAAAACATCACTAAAACTTTTTTTTAAAAAAATGAATGGGAGGTGACACAGTGGATAGAGTACCAGCCCTGGAGTCAGGAGGACCTGAGTTCAAATCCAGCCTCAGACAACTCACTAGCTGTATGACCCCGGGCAAGTCACTTAACCCCAATTGCCTAAAAAAATGAATGGGAGGTCAGGAAGTGCAACTGAGTAGATACTCCCCCAAAAGTTGTGAAAGGGAAAAGAAAGATAGACCAGTAACATAAGGAGATGGGAGAATTCCATGAAGTGGTGTTTTGTTTGTTTATTTCTGAGACTAGGGAGATCTGGGAATATTTGTAGATTGCAAGGAAGGAGCCTGTGAATAAGGAGATGATGAAGATGACAAAGAGACAGAGGGTGATGGAAGGGGCAAGCTGTTGGAGGAGGTAAGATCAAGGGTGTATGTAGAGGGAGTTGACCTTGGCAAAGAGAAAGGCCACTTCTTCATCTGAGATTAAGAGCAAAACCTAAAACTGTGTAAGTGTAAGCTATTGGTAGTATGAATGAAATTGTCTTAAAAAGGAAAGACCTATGGAAAATCAAATCAACAATCCCAAAATAAGCACAAAAATCTGAAAATCATGGAAAAATGAAAAATACAAAGATCTTTTGGACTGATAAAAATAAAGAGCTGGTTTTTCAAAGACAAAAAAAATCAACAAATCATTAGTGTGTTTTTTTAAAGGGAAAATCAAATTATAAAAATGAAAAATGAACAGGATTCACCAAGAAGACAAATGGAATAAAGAGACTGATCCAAAATTGCTATACATGAGTATATGCCAGTAGAACTGAGAAGTAAAAGAAAATGGATGATTTCTTTTAAAAATATAAAAAACACTGAAATCAACAACAAAAGAAATTGAATGCACGTTTCCACTATTCCTTGACACGGCAGCTCATTGCTAGACTCTCAGCCCCCGGGGGGAAAACAGTATGTTTTCCTTAAGCAAATTAGCCAAGCTTTACAGCTTACTTATTCCCAATTAGAACATCAGTGATCAGAGACCTCCCTGGGAAATCATCTCTAACAGTTTTGTGGCATTTTTGCAGGGTGATGACGGTGCTCCTGGGCCAGTGGGCCCGAAGGGAATCAGGGTAAGTCAAATGATAGTTATAGAATGTCATATTTGAGGTGCTTCACTAGCTGATTCCAAGGGAAAGTTAGTGAATTGCAACTAGCAGACCATAACAGAACATACTGAAATGCATTGCCAGTGGGGGAATAATTTCTTTTAAAAGTTAAATTAAAAAGTAGGTGCAAATTTCAAGTTGTCCTAAGCAATTCTTTTACATTTGGAGAGCTACTGTTGTTTTTTTTCAACACAGTTTATTTCCTGAATGTCTGTTTCAAAAACTTGATGTGATTGGAAAAGGCTTATAAAGAATTTGATGTCAGAAAATGTTGGATTTTAATTATGTACCAGCTGTAACATTCCTTTTAGTTAGTGGCCAGGGACAAATATATGAAGCTGTCTGTCTTATGTCAAATTTTAACTATTTCTGGAAATAGTTAAACAATAGAACTGCCTTTCCTCCTTAGCCAAAGGGTGCCTTGATTTCTATCAGTCAGTCAGTCAATAAGTGTTTATTAACCTCCTGCTCTGTGCCAGGCACTGAGCTAGGCTCTGGATACAGAGACAATGAAACAGTCCCTGCCCTCAAGGAGCTTACATTCTATGAGGGAGACAACATGCCCATATACTACTGATGTGGTCTAGGGGTGCTAGGAACCCCGAATGCAAGGATACAGGGTGGGTCTGCCTTGAAAGAATTCGACCATTCAAGCCTTCTTTCAGTCTAAGTAATGAGTTTATTATGATACCAGTTGGGTGGACGAGATTCCTACTGAGTCTTAGGTATTTTGTGACGCCAGTACAAGTGGGTCAGATTCTAAGAATCTGCGCAATTTAATGGGGGTAAGATTGGTATTTTTATACAGAAAGACTGTGGGAAGATCTGGATGGGATCTAAGAGTGGCAAGTAGCCTGGGGTGGTCCAGAGGCAATAGAGGAAGGGTCTGGATGGGATTAAGAAGTATCAAGCTTATTAAGTAATCAAGGTGGGCTGGGGTAGGCCAGATACCTCAGGAGAATGCCAGTGACAGGATTCCTGAAATCTGTGGGAAAGTTCAGGGGTTTTTCCTTTTAGGAGTCCAGCGTGAATCCCATCCCCCATCACTAGTATGTATAGAATAGATAAAAGGCAATTTCAGAGATAAATAAATACAAGACAATTTGGGGGAAAGGGAGGGGCAGAATAAAATCCATAGCTGGTTAAGGCTGATTTATGTGGCTGGTTTTCTGAGCCAGATAGGAGTCCTTAAGAATTTCTGATACACTTGCATAAAACATTTGCAGTTGGGAGGATAGATGTTAGACTTCTTTTCTTTTTGACTTTTTTTTTTTTTTTTGTAACAGACTGGGTCTCCAGATCGTGCCCAGGCTGGATATGCAGTGGTTACTCACAGGCCTGATGCCACTACTGATTGACATAGGAGCTTTGACCTGTCCCATTCCTGGCCTGGGCTAGTTTGTCCCTCCCCCATAGGCAACCTGGAAGCCCCCTGCTCCTCAAGCCTCACTCACTATGTTGGTGCCAGATGTGGTATGGACACCTGATTGGCTTAGCATACTCAAGCTCAGAACTCTTAAGTTCAGTTGATCCACCAGTCTCAGCCTCCTCATAGTAGGCATGTTCCAGAAACTCAGGGCTCAGAGAGATGGTGTTTGGCTAGTGACAGACATAAGGGACAGCTAGGTGGCACAGTGAACAGTGCTGGGCCTGGAGTCAGGAGGACAAGAGTTCAAATCCAGCCTCAGACACTTCCTAGCTGTGTGACCCTGGACAAGTCACTGTACCCTGTTTGCCTCAGTTTCCTCCTCTGTAAAATTAGCTGGAGGAAGAAATGGCAATAAACTCCAGTATCTTTGTCAAGGAAAACCCCAAATGGGGTCACGAAAAGTCAGACACGACTGAAAAACGACTGAACAACAGTGACAGACATGGGAATGTTCTGGGTGGGGCCTTACTCATGCCAATCCAATGGTTCTGATTCAGGATTGGAATTAAATGACTTATTTGTAGACCACTGAGGATGGTTTCCTTTTTCTTTTGAGGAATATCTAGCTTATGTAGCCCGGACCTTCTAGTCCTTGGGTCCCAATCAGATTAGCAGTAGATATTGCTCCTATCATAGGAAACGAAGCTCAAGTTCAATGATTATCTTTAAAAAAAATAACAATAACAACCCCCAACAAGGAATGTTCCCTCCCATCCACGTGGTCACACCTGCTTGCTCCATGACCTCCTAGTCTCTACTGTCATTACCACTTTCAGGATTCTGACATCAGTGAGAGTCTGGAGCCTGAGGATCCAGGGGAGGCCAGTTCTGGGAGAATGAGTAATGTTTCACAGAAATAAGTGAGGCTGGGGTTCTAGCTGTCTGCAACCAGGCATCCCCAGAGCAGCCCCCTGACATCCACTGGTCTCTACTAGAAAACTATTCAATTCCAGGACAAAACCTGGATAGCTTCAGAAAAAGAGTCAACTGGGATCAATGGGTATTTGTCCATAGCCATCTGAGTTAAGGGCCTCCTCTCTTTCTCTCCCCTGGGCCATCGTAAGAATCTCCTAATTGATTTCCCTGCCTCAAGTCACCAGACTATGGAAACAGAGCTAGATTTGGAGTCAGAGGACCTTAGTTTGAATCCTACCCTCTGCCAGTGTTACTGTCTGCATGAAGTTGGGTAAAGCACCTCCCCTCTCTGGGCCTCAGTTTACCTATCTGTAAAATGGGGGGCTTGGACTAGTTGACTGCTAATGTCCTTTCCACCTCTAAATCTAGGATCCTTTCTAATCTGTCCGGTGTTACAGCTGCCAAAGTGACAGTCACTCCTCCTCTCAATAAGCTCTAGTGGTACTAGATGTGGACATGGGATCAAATATTGACCCCTCCGTTCAGAATCAAAAGCCTGACTCTCCTTCGTGCACTCTGGCCTTTGGCCAAACTGGCCTCCGGCCAAACTGGCCTCCTTGCTTTTCCTCATCGTTTCCTGTCTCCATGCCTTTGCCCAGGCTGGTCACCATCCCTACCTCTTAGAATCCTCAGCTTCCTTCCTAGCTCCTTCCTACCTGAGGCCTCCCCAATCTCCCCAGCTACCAGAGTCTAAATTGCTTTGGGCGTGCTTGCTGTCCCAAAGGACAACGATGCTTTTAGGAATTTTCTTACATTAGTTCATGTCTCCCTTGTTAGAATGTCAGCCCCTCCAGGGTAGGGAGTGGTTCCTTTTTTTAGCTTTGGGTCCTCGGCACCCAGCACAATGCCTGGCACCTCCTAGATGCTTAATAAATGCTTATTGATTGATTGATTTCTGTAGAAGCCTTTCATTAGCCAAATCACCTTTTCAGGCCTTTTCCTTTCTGCTCCCTCCATGTAAGTTCAGTGTTCCCCGAGACTCCTCATTCTTCCCCACCCCACGTCGCCAATCAGTTGCCTAATCTTGCAACTTCTTTCTCTGTAACATCTCTCGTCTGTGACCCCTTCGCTCCACTCAGACAACTACCGCTTTAATCCAGGCCCTCATCACCCCTTGCCTTGATTATTGCTGCAGTCTCCTAATTGGTCTCTGGGCCTCAAGTCTCTCATCACTCCAATCCATCTTCCTCAAAACTGCCAAAGTGATTTTCCTCAAGCACCAATCTGACCATGTGACTCTCCTACTTCACCAATTGCAGTGGCCGCCTATCTCTTCTAGGATAAAATAGAGACTCCTTTGTTTAGCTTTGAAAGCCCTTTGCCACTTCGCCCCAACCTACTTTTTGGTCTTTCTGGACGTGACTTCCCCTCTTGAACTCTGTCGTCTAACCAAAATGGACTTCTTGGTAGTCATCACCCAAGCCTCTCCATCTCCTGTCTCCTTTTCTCTGGTGGTCCCCCATCCCAGGAATGCCATCCCTCCTTACCTCTGCCTCATAAGGTCTCTCTCTTCCTTTAAAACACACCTTGAGTCCCATTTTCTGCATGAAGCCCTTCCTCACACCCTCCAATTGCTCAGTGCTCTCCCTCCCAAACTACCTTGTATTTAAGGACATCGTATTTATTTCCGTGTGTCTGATTTTCGATTTAGGCTGCATGCCTTGTTTTGTGTGCTTATGATCTACCCCATTAGGATGGCAACTCACTAGGATTGGAGATTGTTTCATTCTTTGTACTTGTATTCCTGACGCTTAGCACATTGGCCCATGGTAGGTGAGTGAGTGATACACACTTGTTGGTTGATTGATTGACTATCTAAGTGTTACCATTTACTACAGAATCCCCAGAGGCCCTTTAGTGGCTGGGCAGACACATTCAACCACCCATTTGCTGTTCCCACTGGACTAAATGGCACTAGAACTCTCCTAAAGATAGCTTTCCACCTAGAACTCCCAGGCTGGGTTCTAGGGAGAACTTGAGTGAGCACCAATTTTTTTAGAGGGTATAGAATCTCATTTCAGGTTTAAATTTCTAGTTTTTAAGGAACCATCTGCAAGAAAGTGATGAAAGGGGGTATGGATTCAGAGAAGCTGGCTTTGAATCCTGGCTCTGCCACGTGTTACCCTTTTTGATAACCTTTTTGTGCCTCAGTTTCCCCCTCTATAAAATGAGGCAGTTGGACTAGATGGTTTTTTAAGCTTCTTTACAGTTCCAGATCTCAGATCCTATGTGGGCCTTCAGGCAAATAATTTTACCTTCCTGGGCCAAAGGTTCCCCATCTCTAAAATGGAGAGATTAACTCAGATGGCGTTGGGTCTTTTCAGGGTCTAAATCCATGATGCTAACATGATAATAATAATGGGATTCATGAAATGCTGTGTTTCTTCTCCTAGGGGCCCCCTGGACTTCCTGGATTCCCAGGGACACCAGGTCTTCCTGTAAGTAAGATTTGATTTTTCATGAATTTTTTTTCTAGATTTTATTATTTTTGTAATTATTTTGGAGAATATTCTTTCCTGAGACTATCGTTATAGATAAAATGTTCTGTTCTCCCTTACAAGGGAATGCCAGGCCTTAATGGAGCCCCAGGACCTCAGGGCATCCCAGGGTGCAATGGGACAAAGGTGAGTCTACTGTGACCATACCTTAGTAATATGTTTCCTAGACTGATAATTCTAAGGAGAATAAATGAGCTTTGGGGTAGGGGTGCAGTTACTTATCCAGAGTACTTGGGAGTTTGACCTGGGATTGATGTGAATATGCCCTTTGGAAGGTGTGATTAAACTGAGGTTGGGAAAAGTTTACCCCACGAGGTCATACATATGCAGCTAGCACGAAACAGAATCCAGAGGAGAATTCAGCTCTTCTGAGGCCAGAGCCAACCTTCCCAGTATCCTTTGCTGCAATACTAGTGATGAATCATTCAGTCAATAAGAGATTTTAAAGCACCTACTCTGTGCCAAACATCACGTGAGGTGCTTCAGATGCAAATACAGAAGGGGACTCTCTCCTACTCTGAAGAAGTTTATATTCCAGTAGGAGAGACAACATCAACATATAGAGATATATGAGAATATGGACTGAAAAAAATGTTGTTTTTCAGTCGTGTCTTATTCTCCGTGACCCCACTTGGGGATTTCTTGGCATAGATATTGGAGTGGTTTGCCATTTCCTTCTCCAGCTCATTTTACAGATGGGGAAACCGAGGCACGCAGAGTGATGTGACTTGCCCAGGATCACACAGCTAGGAAGTATCTGAGGCCAGATTTGAACTCAGGAAGCTGAGTCTTCCTGACTCCAGGCCCATTGTTCTATCCATTGTGCCACCTCGCTACCCTGAAAAAATACAAGGTGATTTGAGTGGAGAGGGAAGGCATCAGCAGCTAGGGTGATTTGAGTGGAGAGGGAAGGCATCAGCAGCTAGGGAGAACAGGAAAGGCCATATGGAGATGGTGGAACTTGAACTGAGTCTTGAAGAAATCTAGGGATTCCAGCAGATGGAATTGAGGCGGATATGCATTCTAGGCATGAGAGATGAAGGCATGGAAATAGGAGATGGGGCTTTGTGAGAAATAGCAAGGTGGCCAGTTTGGCTTGATTGTAGAGTATGTGAAAGAGAGTAAAATGTAATAAACCTGAAAAGGTCCATTATATATTAAAGCTCTTCTATTATACATTAAAGCCAATCCTGGCATTAGGCCCACACTTTGTTAACCAAGTTGCAGTTAACATAAGTGTCTGAAAGGAATCAAATTGAACTTTTTTATTAGCAGATAAAATTCTAATTCAACGTGTCCTTCCAGCCTCTTCACAGCCTGCATTCATTTTTTTCCTCAGTCACCAAAGGTGTAGTTATATTTTTTAAGTATAGATATCTTTTGTTTTTACATCCCCTTCATTTCTTCTACTTGTATTCTGAATTTAATGAACAAAAAAGCACATGCAAAGTAGGACAGAAAAGATGATTACATTTAAAGTCATGAATGTCTGTTATGTAGAACTTGCTTTTAAAGAAAGTTTATCATCAATTCAGCCCATTACTTTCAAAGCTGTCCACCTTGTCTGTTTCTCTCTGAACTGCTTTCCTTCTCTTCTCTTCTCTGCATTTTTAAAAGTGTTTCCACCTTCTTTTGTTTCTTTCCTTTTTGTTTTCTCTCTCAGCATCAGCTAGCCTCCACCCTTCCCTGTCCCTCTCCTCAAATAAAAGAAAACAAAACACAATCCTTTTAACAGCTGAACCTAGCCAAGGAAACCAGTTCTGCACATTTACCTGGTCCAAAAATGTTTGTATCATGCCGCCCTTTTTATGTCCCCTTCATTTCTGAATATGTCCCTCTCCCTTTCCCTCCCCAGTGAGCTGTCTGTTGTAACCAAGAATAAAAAGAGATCCCCTGTCCCCCGGAAAAAATAATCAGCTCATCACAGCCACCTAGCAGAGCAAATTGGAATATGCCACGTTCCACACCCATAATTGCCCACCTCTGCATAAAGCCTCCAACTGCTATGATGAGTAAGGTGTAAAAACTGTTTTCCAGGGAATGCAGAGCTGCAGAGGTGGGCCCTGGCCCTGGTGAAAGATCATTTTATCTAACATCCTTTTGGGTCTTCTTGGGATGATAATAGGCGCACAGTATCTTCCACTTAGCCCAGTGTTAGAATTATTTTTTTTTCCTTATGAGATACTATTTTCTAAGGTATAAATACACCATTATCCCTAACCTGGTTTGTTTGTTTTTTTATACTCTAGCCCAGTGGTAGGGAACCTGCGGCCTCGAGGCCACATGTGGCCCTCTAGGTCCTCAGGTGTGGCCCTTTGACTGAATCCAAACTTCACAAAACAAATCCCCTTAGGGATTCAGTCAAAGGGCCACACTTGAGGACCTAGAGGGCCACATGTGGCCTCGAGGTCACAGGTTCCTCACCCCTGCCATATAGTACCTCACCTGCAATACACATTGTGTTTTATGTGTTTTGAAGGGTCACTGTTTAAAGCAAAAGCTAGCAGTCCCTATGGGTAGTTTGTGTGAAAAGTCCAAAATTGGCCACAATGTTAAAGAAACTTACTGTGCCCATTAGGGGCAGCTAGATGGTTTGGTGGATAGAGTGCTGGGCCTGGAGTCAATAAGACCTCGAATTCAAATCCAGCCTCAGATACTTAATAGCTGTGTGACCCTGAGCAAGTCACTTAACTTCTGTTTGCCTAGGAGGCAGCTAGGTAACTCAGTAGATAGAGCACTAGGCCTAGAGTTGGGAAGATCTGAGTTCTAATCTGGCGTCACTTACTATTTGTGTGACCCTGGGCAAGTCACTTAACCTCTGTTTGCCTTAACCCACTGGAGAAGAAAATGGTGAACCATTCCAGTATCTTTGCCATGAAAACCCCCTGGGCAGCATTGGTGTGCTATGGTCCATGGGGTTGAGAAGAGCTGGATATAACTGAACAATAATAACAAGTGTGCCCATTAAGGGTACCCAGGAAGGCAAGGCCTTTGCTTCTTTGTTAGTGTCAGATAGACTTTCAAGAAGTACAATATTAATATTTATACCTGAGAGGGATTCATTTCTTCTAAGAAGAATAGATTTAGAAATAATAATTATAGCTACCATTTATACAGCACGTTAAGATTTGCAAAGCACTTTATATGTATTTACCTTGTTTGATCCTTACAACTCCACAAGGTAGGCACTATTATTACCCCCCCATCTCTGTTTTTACAGATGAGGAAACTGAGGCTGAGAGAGGTTAAAGTGACCTGCCCAGAATGACACAGCTTGTAAGTGTCTTTGCATGGGCTATCCCCCAATGTTCTCCCTCTTCATCTCCCCTTTTTGGAATCCCTGGTGCCCTTCAAGGCTTGGCTCAAGTACTACCTCCAACACAAGGCCTTTCCTGATCCTCTCTTCACTGTTTGTTAGTGTTTGCCCCTGCCTCTCAGATTACTTTGTACCTGTTTCATGATGATTTGTATACATGCTCTCTCCCTTTGCAATGTAAGCTCCTTGAGGGCAGGGACTGTCAGATTCTTGACTTTGTTTCCCCAGTGCCTAGCGATCAATTAAGTGAGCATTTATTGGGTGACTGCTACATGTCAGGCTCTGTGTTGAGACACTGGGGAAGACAAAGACAGAAAGGGAATGACAGTCCCTGCCCTCAAGGAGCTTACATTCTATTGGAGCAGATGACAAAAGCCCATAGAAGCATATACGAAATATGTACAAGGTAATTCTGGGGGAGGCCCTAGCAGCTGGGGGAGGGTATCTAAAAAGAGCTCAGGTACAAGGAAGCACTGAAGCTGAGCCTGGAAGGGCACTAGAGATGCCAGGAAGTGGAGGTAAGGAGAGAAAACATCCAGAAATGGAGTAGACAGCCTAGACAAAGGTGTGGAGGTGAGAGATGGAACATCCTTGTACATAGTAGGCCCTTCATGAACGTTTGTTGGGTTGCATTCTTGATTGTTTCTCCCCTTTGGTTTTGTTTTGTTTTGTTGCTTTTTTTTTTTTTGGTGAGGCAATTGGGGTTAAGTGATTTGCCTAGGATCACACAAGCTAGTGAGTGTTATGTGTCTGAGGCTGGATTTGAACTCAGGTCCTCCTGACTCAAGAGCTGGTGCTCTATCCACTACAGCACCACCTAGCAGCCCCACCCCTTTGTTTTCTAAACTGGTGATGTAGGCTAACAGTTGACAATGGTGAGTAAACAACTGGGGGCCTAGTTTGCAGTTGCGAGAATGATTCTCTTATTGGTGATAACAGTTCCCCTCTCCTGCCTTGGGGAAAATAAAGCCCAACCCAACAAAAGAAACCTATAGTCACCCAAATGTTTCCCTAACCCAAGGCTGGGGAACCTGCGGCCTCTAGGCTACATGGCCCTCTAGGTCCTCAAGTGTGGCTGCTGACTGAATCCATACTTCACAGAACAAACCCCCTCTAGGTCCTCAGGTGTGACCCTTTGACTGAATCTAAACTTCACAGAACAAATCCCCTTAATAAAAGGATTCATTCTGTACAACTTGGACGCAGTCAAAAGGCCTTACCTGAGGACCTAGAAGGTCACATATGGCCTTGAGGCTGCAGGTTCCCCACCCCTGCCCTAACCCTTATAAATTGGAAGGTGGCTATGGGTATGAATGAGGAGGGGAGCTGCATGCAGAGTAAACAGAAGGGCTAAGAAAGATGCTTTCTCTCTTTCTGCTTCGGTTTGATCAGAAGGGATGAGGGTTTAGTGAACAGGGCAGAATAGGGCCCCTTTTGAATAATGAATGGAGAGGGAATAAGGAAGTGATAAGCTTGGAGAGAGGGCAACTGGTAAGTGAGGGCAGGCTTGTGATTGATTAGTGGCCAGTCAGGTTCTAAAAAATATGCCCATCTTCATTTGTTCTAATCTGACTTTTTCCAAAGTCTTTTAGAGAAGTAGTTTAGACCGTAACTTTCAGCCAACTTGTATATTCACAAAGTTACTTCATATTCTTGTCTCTAAGTATACGTTTTCATTCATTCGTTCGTTTGTTCATTCATTTATTCGTTCATTCATTCATTCTCCTACCCTCTTTTTCTTTCCTGTCTAGGGAGAACGTGGATTTCCAGGCATTTCTGGTGTTCCAGGTTTACCAGGTCCCCCAGTAAGTTACAGGTGTTGGATTTGAATAGTAAGAAACCGCATTAGAATCCGTGAAGAGGCTGGGGTTGGGAGGGTAAGGGAAACTGGTCTCTTGGCTCACTGAAGTGGACCAGGGGAGGGGTGGCATATGGGGAAGTAAGAAATTAGATGAGGATTGGGAAGAATCCCCAAATGGAGAATCATGATAGGCTTCCCTGCAGAATTTGAATGGATTTTCGAATGTCCTAGTCATGGGTCTTGAGCTGGAAAAGACCTTAGAGGCTAACTTCCTTGTTTGACAGATAGGGAAACTGAGGGCCAGGGAGATGGAGTGACATCAGATCAGAGGATCCTAGCTCTAAAACTGTGAGGAGCCTTAGAGGTCATCTAGTATGGCCTTCTCATTTTACAGAGGGGGAAACTGAGGCCCAGGGAGGGGAAGGGACTTGTCTAAAACCACAGGTAGGATATAAGTACTCCAGAGGCTCTGAAGCTTTGTGGTGTTAGGGACCCTTTTGGCAGTCTGAAGCCTGGGGATTCTTTCTCAGAATTAGTGTTTTCTAAATGACTGATATCAAACACAGGATTGCAAAGGGAACCAATTATGTTGAAATATAGTTATCAAAATACTAGAAAAACAAGTTCACAGAACCCAGGTTAAGAATCTCTGGTTGATTCCAACCCCCTTCTTTTACAGAGGGGGAAACTGAGGCCCAGGGAGGGGAAGGGGCTGATCCAAGGTCACAAAGGGAATGAAAGTCAGATGCAAGATAGTAGTAGTAGAAATTAGATCATATTTTCAGATATAATGACCTCCTGGTCCCACTACTGTTGGAATAAACTTCATCTGTGGTACGTTGGCTCTGCAGGTTTTTAGTGGAGTGTTGCAATGTAGTCTGCTGATTTTTTTTTCCTTTTTCTCTTCAACATAGGGTCCTCCTGGGATCCTAGGGATGAAGGTGAGTATTTGCACTAATTCAGCTTTGGGGTATTTTTAGAGGAATTGGGATGCATGACTCATCTATATAAGGGAAAAATTATTTACAACCAATAGCAAGGCCATGGGAATTCTGAGAAGATGAAGCTTTCTCATTGTTTCTTAATGTTGTGTTATTGTCTCTGTCCCCTTTTTGACACCCTGTCGGTCTCGAGTCCCTGGCTTTTGTTGATAAGGCAGCCCTGTCTTTGGTGACATTTAGAGAGAAGCTCGGGTCCTCAGATCATTTCATTCCCAACCATTGCCAGTTTGGAGATGGGGACTGCTGATATTTCCAAGGGCCTTGTGTTTATGGTTTTCTTTTAGGGGCCGCCGGGAAGTATAATTCTGTCCACACTGCCGGGCCCGAAGGGGGACCCAGGCAATCCAGGGCTTCCAGGAAGACAAGTAAGTGCACTCGAAGGTTTTCTTGCTTGCCACGTTTGGGGTGATCCAAGAAGCACTCCCCAGTTTTCTCCTCCACTTTTTCCTCCTAGCTTTCATCCATAGGCACTTTCAAGTTGTTACATGTGCAAATTAGCATGTAACTGGCATCTCAACAAAACGTTGCCTAGATAACACCAGTGAGGATCAGCTTTCCTTTGTTTTCTTCTTTCTGCTCAGTTTCCATGGAAATTTTTGTTTGTGGCTTTGGCTGTAGATTTATGCTTATATTGTGTGAAGTGAGTGTGTTAGAAAGAGCATTAGTGACAGGAGTGTTCTTGGTAAGTGCTGGTGGCCTGGTTAGAACAAAAGAAAAAACCCAGGATGCTGTCGATTAGCTTCAAGGCTGACTCCAAATGGGCCTACCTGGAAATGACTGTAAGAGAGACTTCTTTCACTTGTATTCCCGTGCCCACACAGAGCAATGAATTTTGACTTTATGTAGACTGGGGCTAGGGAGGGGACGGTGCAATTTCTGAAGCACAGCACACAGCCCTCTCTGAATGGAAGGAGATCACAGAGTCATATAATATCAGAGCTGGATGAGATGTCTGTAGTCTGGCCAACCTGTGACTGAATAAGGACCCTTTCTTGCTACCTTGTGGAAAATCTGTAATTGAAGGGGGGAGTCTCTAGAATCACAACTGATAGGAACATGGAGCTTTAAGCTGGCAAAGTATCTGACATAGGGGAGCCGATTTGGAGATCTGAATGACCACCTCTCATATTTGGGGCCAACCCGAAATGGAACAAGAACTAATGGAGTGCAGTGTTCTATCCACTGTCCCACACCGCCTCTGAAGGACTACTACATGGAAGATGGTGTATACCTATTCAGAGCGCTGTATCACCTGCCTTCTAGCTTTTTCTGGTAGATTTCCAGTGAGGAGGAACAGTGTGACCCCAGTGTGTGACCTTAGGGTCAGAGGGCCCCCGACTTTGAATCCCAGCTTTGCCACTTGCTAGCTGTATGACCTTGGTTATCACTTAACCTTTCTGAGCCTGTTTTCTCATCTGTAAAATGGGGAAGATAACATCACCAATCTCACAAATGAGAAAAATATCTCTAAGGGCTTTGCAAACCTAAAAGCACCATATAAATATTAATTGCAGTTATTAACATTAATATTACCGTCCAAGGCAGACCTTGGGATGGCTTTAATTATTAGGTAGTTTTCCTTTACATCATACCTAAATTCTCCTCTTTGCAGCTTTTTTAATTTTTTAATTTTTTAATTTTTAGGATGGCTTTAATTATTAGGTAGTTTTCCTCTACATCATACCTAAATTCTCCTCTTTGCAGCTTTTTAAATTTTTTAATTTTTTTGCTTTTTTTTTGGTGAGGCAATCAGGATTAAGTGACTTGCCCAGGGTCACATAGCTGGTAGGTGTCTGAGACCAGATTTGAACTCAGATCCTCCTGACTCCAGGGCCAGTGCTCTATCCACTGTGCTACCTAGCTGCCCCGCCCCCCCTTTTTTTTGGTCAGGCAGTGGGGTTAAGTGACTTGCCAAGGTCACACAGCTAGTAAGTGTTATGTGTCTGAGGCTGGATTTAAACTCAGGTCCTCCTGACTCCAGGGTCAACGCTCTATCCACTGTGCTACCTAGCTGCCCCTCCCCCACCTTTTTAATTGACTTTATTAGGTTTTTAAGACTTGAGCCATATTTTTCTCTGCACCTGGACAGGTGTGTAATGAATTAGTCATGTCTGACTCTTTGTGACCCCGTTTGGGATTTTCTTGGCCAAGATACTGGAGTGGTTTGCCATTTCCTTCTCCAGCTCATTTTACAGATGAGGACCACTAAGGCAAACAAGGTGAAGTGAATCATCCAGGCTCACATGGCTAGTAACTGTCTGAGGTCAGATTTGAACTTAGGAAGACTGACTACAGGCCTGGTGCTCTATCCACTGCACCACCTAGCTGCCCCAAGGTTATGTGACTTGCCCAGGGTCACATAGCTCGTAAGTGTCTGAGGCTAGATTTAAACTCTTTTTTCCTGACGGCCTAGTCATCGATATCTGGAGTCAAGCTGAATAGGTATACACCATCTTCCATGTAGTAGTCCTTCAGAGGCAGTGTGGGACAGTGGATAGAACACTGTACTCCATTAGAGTTGAGAAGCCTAGGGTTAGTGTCCTGTCTCAGACTTAGCAGCTGTGTGACCTAGAGCAAGTCACTTAGCCCTTCTGGACCTCAGTTTCTCCATCTGGCTCCCTAAAGCCTTCTCTTCTCCAGGTTAAATATTCACCTGACCCTTATGTCCTACGATCTTAAGGTTCTTTCTTCATTTCCACTTTCTTCAACTTCTTGGTGATTTCCAGCTTGTAAAAAGCAGTCCTAAAAATGCTTCCCCTAGACCTGAACACAGTGCGCTAGGAGGGGCCCCATGAGGGTGGAGGATGGGAATGTTTTCATCTCTCCTGGGACTCCATGAGAATTCAGGTCAGACCCTATTAAACAGCAAGGTACTATGCTAGCTGCTAGGAACACCAGCATGCTTATCACATGGCCCATGCTCCTGGCATGCTCCTGGCATGCTCCTGGCCTTCTGGGAGCAGAAGGGAGGGATGGCACAGAGGGAGAATCTGGGATGAGATATGGGGGAGAGGAGTCCAAAAGGACTCAGAGATTTCCTGCCTGGGCTATGGGGAGGGGGAACCACTGACTTTTAAGGGTTGAGAAGAAGATGGAGAACCTGCAATGAAGACATAGAAGGAGCAGCCTGAGAGGTAGGAGGGGAACCAGAAGAGTGGCATGCAAGTCAGAGTGGGCTGGAGGATCAGTGTGATCAGAGGATCCCATATTTAGAACTGGAATGGAGCTTAGAGGTCATCAAGTACAATCTCCTTCATTTTACAGAGGAGGAAACTGAGGCCCAGGAAGGGGAAGGGACTGGCCCAAAGTCACACACAAGATCCTAGATTTAGAACTGGAAGGGGGCTTAGAGGTCATCAAGTACAATCTCCTTCATTTTACAGAGGGAGAAACTGAGGCCCAGGAAGGGGAAGGGACTGGCCCAAAGTCACACACAGGATCCTAGATTTGGAACTGGAAGGGGGCTTAGAGGTCATCAAGTACAATCTCCTTCATTTTACAGAGGGGGAAACTGAGGCCCAGGGAGGAGAAGGGACTGGTTCAAGGTCACACAGCTGGTGTCAGAGGCAGGGTTTGAGCCCTCCTTTCTGACTCCAGAGTCAATGTTCTTTCTGCTGACTCTCTAATGAGACCTTTCTCAAGAATGTTAAGACCCTTTTCATAACTGAGAATTTTTTTCCTCAGGAAAATGAATGTCCTTCCCCTAGTTTACTCCCTTTACTTTCTTGCTTTTGTCACGGCCTCCTTCTCATACCCTTTGGCAATTGAACCCATCCAGGTCCACTCCCTTAATATTCTCAGCTTTCCTTCTTACCTTTTCTTCCTGTTATCCCCTCACTACTACTCACCTTTGACCCCTTTCTTTTCTCCTTCACAATCTATTTTAAAAATTGTTATTGATGCCCCCTATATTTCCTTTATAATAAAGAATGAAATACCAGTTCAACCAACTCGCCAACAGCTTGAACAAGCCTGGCATCCTCTGCTGTGCTCCACCCCCACCATGAGCCCACGTCTCCCAACCTCTTCCTTTGAAGCCCCAAACAAAACATCCATCTCATCCCGTCCCTTCCCTTTGTCCTCCAGCTGCTACTTGAGAAATAAGCTCAGTTTCTTTGCTTTTACATCGTATGCTGTGTGGATGCTTGAGCACCCAGAATGCCTCTGAGTTTTAGAGCAGAGAACTCTTGCAGTGGTGCCATGCTTCGGGAGGCTTGGTTCTCCTCTCTCTCATACTTTCCTCTTTTTGACAGGGCCCAGCTGGTGTGACTGGAAGTCCAGGTCCTCTTGGTTCCCCCGGCCTACCAGGGTGGATGGTAAGCTTTCCAGAGGATCTTGGAGCAAGGGCTGAGCCTTTCTTTTCAGCATATGTGGCATTTGTAAGCTCCTTCCAAGTGGGAGATAGCGTGATTTCTTTTCCCTACTCGCCCTGGAGGAAGGTGGAAGATGAAGGGGTTCAGTCTTCCATTTTACTTTCTTCAACCAGTCAGTCAGTTGATGGATCAGTCAACAAGGGTGCATTTATTAGGCACCCACTGTGCCGGTCAATAACAATATAGTACAAACGTCAAGACTGTTGGCTTTGGTTGCCGTTTTGGAGGCTGGAAGCTCTTCGAGGGCAGGGACTATTTCATTTTGGGCTTTGCTCAAGGCCTAACTCAAAGTGGGATTGTAGGAGTCTGGAGCTAGAACTTCAAAGAAACCTCAGAGACCAGCTAGTTCTACTTCCTCAATTTTACAGAGAAGAAAACTGAGGCCCAGAGAGGGGAAGGGACTTGTCTAGGATCACACACAGGATTCTCGATCTAGAGCTGGAAGGGACCTCAAAAGTCTTCTAGTCCAACATCCTTGTTTTACAGAGGGAGAAGCTGAGGCCCAGGGAAGGGAAGGGTCTTGCCCCAGCTCACAAAGGTGGTAGGTGGTTGTGGTAGGACTTCTAATGACAGAGTCAGGCATCAAATAAATGCTTATTGATTCATTTTGTGGTGCCAGTCCCACCTTTGACCTCTCCTGGTCATGTGATCCTGGTGAATTTGATTTCTGAACACCAGGCTCTTTAAGTGTTGCAGAGAAGGTGCCCACCTTCATTGGTAGAAGAAGTTTCTTCACTTTGGGGTTCCCTGGGCCAATGAAATGGTCCAGTCCCTGTTCCTATCCCTCTATCTTGAACTTATTCACATTGGAAGTAAGAATAAATATTAGAATAGTTGGAGAATTTTCAGAAGAGGATAGACTCCTATCTGTCAGATCTGGAGGCCTTCATCAAGGCAAGGGGCAAAACCAGATGATAGTTTCTCAGTCAGCATGTCCTGACCCTGAATAATGAAGATGGCTTGGGTTTGGGGCACAGTCTTCCTTTTTTTCACTCTACCTCCCCTTATCTGACACATCATGGCTTTCTGATGGTACTTGTAACAGAAGCTCAGGAATGCCCCCCATCAGTGGACTGTGGAGGCCATATGTAATGTTGTTGTCCTTTGTTCTCAAAGAGGACCAAAATGACATCACAATGTCGGGGTCAAGGTACAGTGTATCCGACAGTGACTGATCAGACCAGGACGAGCTCAGAAGGCTCTACCACAGGCTGGGCACAGATAATGGTGATGTGTAATTAGGTCCTGATCCAGCTTCACTTTTATCTTGTGCCATGAAGTTTGCAAACCCAAATACATTCTTGAAGAAAGGCTAAATAAGATTTAAAAAAAATTGCTTCAAGAATAAACTGGGGTCTTTCGGCAAAAGAATATATTTTGTCTTTCTAGCCCTAGTGGCCTGCTGGTATGATACATTTGATGATATATTTGAATGCGACGAGATTTTCCTTAAAGGCCCTTGAACAACGGTTAGCCCCAGAAGTCATTGGGTGCTGCTGAGATTCTGGCCATAAGCTGGATCCCCAAAGGCCTGAGACCCTAGGGCTGGTGGAGCACAGATCATTTGAACCCGAAGATGTTTTGATATCAAAGGACGTTTTGATTAAAAAATAAATAGAACTTTTTCCCTTTTATTCCTTGATTAATTCATAGGGGCCTCCTGGGCCACCAGGAATTCAAGGACCAAAGGTAATTTCTGTTTTCTTTATATTCTTTTTAGCTCTTTCAGGCTATTTTGTAGTTGTCGATACTCGATTTCTTATCTGAAAAATGTTCATTTCAGGGGAATATGGGCTTGAATTTCCAGGGCCCCAAAGGTGAAAAGGTAAGTCTTCTCTTTTTGTAACTTTCTGACCTGTTGCCTCGATTTGATTTCCTCTTATCTCTCTCATCCTCGATGGATATAAAGACATGTCATATTGCCTGAGCCTATGGAGTGATCTCAGTATTTTGTTCTCTTTTGGGGGAACTAGGGTGAACAAGGGCTGCAGGGCCCACCTGGCCCCCCAGGGCAGATCGGGGAACTGAAGGGATCAAATGAGACGGAGCTGCTAAAAGGAGATCAGGTGAGGTAGGGGGATGAAGATAGCTAGAGTGTCTCATTGCTGCTTGGAATGGGGCTTTGCATAGGCTTACATATGAATATTATTTAAAAACAATCCCAAGACCTGGAAAACATAAGGGACCTTGTAGACCATCTAGTTCAGAACCTTCATTTTACATAGGAAGAAACTGAGGCCCAGAAAGGATAAGAGACTTGCTCAACATCACACATAAGATTCTACATCTAGAGCTAAAAGGGCCATCAGAGGCCCAGAGAGGCTAACCTTTCCTTTAAAGAAGATAAGTGACTTGGCCAAGGTCACATATAGGATCATAGATCTTGAGCTTAAAAGGTCCTCAGAAGTCATCCAGTCTAGTCCACTTTACTCATTTTATGGATTAGGCCCAGAGAGGTTAAGGGACCTGCCCAGAGCTACACAGCCTATAAGTATCTGAGGCAGGATTTAAATCTGAATTTTCTTGATGACAAGTCTAGAACTCTGTTCTCTATACCTCTCAAATATCAAAATTTTAATTTATCAAAATTCCAAATTTGATAGCAAGTATTAATTATCAAATAATTAATTATCAAATAATTATCAAATTATTAATTTATCAAATTATCAAATAATTAAAGCCATTTGCATGATGGCTGAAGTCTGTGGTTTCATTGGAGTGGATACTCTGTTGATCCCTATACAATCTGTATGTAGGCAGTCTTCAAGAGATGCTTTGACCAAACATCTTTTCCCCTTCTGGCTGACCTGGTCTTGGGCCCCTTCAAGCTTAGCTAGACTAGTCCTCAGTGCACCAACAAAAGTCTAGCACTGGGTCCACTCTATAAGCCTGACTCCCTTCCAAAATGAGGCATTGGAAGAAGATCAGTCACCTAGCATTTATTAAGCACTAACTATGTGCCAGGCACTGTGCTAAGTGTTGGTGATACAAAAAGAGGCAAAAGAGAGCCCCTGCCCTCAAGGAGCTTACAGTCTAATAAGGAAGATAACATAGAAACAAATATATACAAAGCAAGCTATATAAAGGGTGATGGAGTGTTATGAAGAACGGCAGGGAGGCCAGTGTTACTGGGTTGCAGAGTAACTTGTAAGGTGTAAGAGGACTGGAAAGGTCAGAAGAGAGCAAGATTTAAAGGAATTTAGAAGTGAAACAGAGGGTTTTCTATTTGATCCTGGAGGCAGAAAGGAGCCATTGGAGTTTATTGAGTAGGGGGGTGACGTGATCAGACCTGTGCTTTAGGAAAATCACCTTAGCAGCTTAGAAGAGGATGGATTGGAGTGGGGAGAGCCTTGTGGCAGGCAGCGCCACCAGCAGCTACTCCAATACTGGGGAGAGCCTTGTAGCAGGCAGCCCTGCCAGCAACTGCTGCAATAGTGGGGAGACCCTTGTGGCAGGCAGCCCCACCAGCAGCTACTGCAATAGTTCAGGCAGGAGGTGATAAGAGCCTGCACCAGAGTGGGGGCCATGTCAGAAGAGAACAGGGGGTATATTTGGTGGGGATGGTGTAGAGGTAGATATGACAAGACTTGGCCATGAGGGTGAGGAGAAACACTTGAAGTCCTGAAAGGCCTGGATAAGGAGTTTGAGAGAGACTGAGCACATCACAATACCATACATATGTTTCCCTTCATGAATTGCCTCTATTTACACTTTGCATGCTATGGCCCTTTGAGGTTTTGTTTTTGTTATTCAAAGGAATGACAGTGGTTCCTTTACAGATAAGGAAACTGAGGCAAACAAGATGAAGTGACTTGCCCAGGGTCACACAGCTAGTAAGTGTCTGAGGCTGGATTTGAACTCAGGAAGAGGAATCTTCCTGCCTCCAGGCTGAGCACTCTATTTACCTACTTCACAGCCCCATTTCTCTCATGAGGCCTTTGTCCCTTCCTTATGTACTTGGCTAGCATTAATTTATACCTGTTGTCTTTGGAACCCACTGCCTCACCCATAGTGGGTGCTTGCTTCATAAAGCTTGTGGCCACGTCTCCCTATGAGACTGAGCTCCTTGAAAACAGTGACAATAGATGAGGCAGAATGGCACTTTATTCCATGGAGCAGCTGCTTAGTAAATGTTTGTTGAATGAATGCTTGATTGATGGTCTTGCTCTAACTTTTTTCCCCCAGCTAACACTCAACAATGGATAGATTGATTGGTGTTTGAAAGACAGCAGTGGAGAGGGGGAAAAGCCTAGCTGGTCCTGGAAGACTAGTATCAAGAAAGCAGATGCTAAGAATGGGTTGGGACTAGTTTGGAGAGCTAGATTTGAACAATAAAAAAGGGGGTTGGGGAAAAGCTAAAAGGAGACGTAGGACCAACTGTGCCTTAATGACTGAGGGTCAAAGAATAGAACTGCTCAGCTCCTTTCCTCTTGCTTCTGTTTTCTTTATCCCAAAGAATGATCCTTTAAGGCCTATCTAAAATCACCCCTCCTCAGTATTGCAAGAGTCAGCATAAGTGATTGCTGATCTGTTGTTGGGGATCTAGAAGAAGGTCTTTAGTGGAGTGCCTCAGGTCTCTGTACTTGACCCTTTGCTATTTCAAATTTTTATCACTGACTTGGAGAAAGGCACAGATGGTGTGATTTACAGGTGATACTCAGCTGAGAGGAATAGCTAACACTGGACAACAGGCAGGATTCAAAGAGATTTTAATGGGTTAGAAGTTTAGGCTGAGTCCAAAAAGATAAATTCAATAGGGATAAATATGAAGTTTTTCACTTGGATTTAAAAAAAAAATCAGTAGCACAAGCAGAAGATGAGGGGGGATATGTGGCTAGACCACGGTTTGCCTGAAAAAGATTTGGGGGTTTTAGTGGTCTTACAAGATCGATGTGAGTCCTCAGTGTGATATGGTAACTAAGAAAAACTAATGAAACTCTAGGCTTCATTAAGAGAGGCAGAGCTTCCCAGTCTAAGAAGCAATTATCGGGCTGTCTTCTGCCCTTGTCAAGACCTCAGCTGTAGTATTGTGTTCAGGTCTGGGAAGTAAAGTTTAAGAAGGACATCGATAAGGGCGTTGATAATGTGGAGGGGAACTAGGATGGTGGAGGCCCTCACGTCCATTGGTGCACCAGGTTTCTTGGAGGTAACTGGGGTAGGACTGTTTGGCCTGGAGAAGAGACAGGAGAGCTGCCTTTTGGGTAAGAAGGGTTGGTCTTGTTCTGCTGGGCCTCCTACGGCCAGAGCAGCAGCGATATAGGGAGAGGATGTAAGGAGGCCTGAGGAGGCTATAAGGAGGCCGACTGAGGCTGGAGGGCAGCAAACAGGCAGAAAGCTAGCCAGGAGTAAGGTGGGCTGCTTTGGCAGGGTTCAGGTTGCCTCTCGGAGGCTTCAAGCAAAAGCCACACGACGAGCTTGGTGGAGGGGACCTCTGAGGCCCCTTCCAACTTGGAGGGGAAGAGAGTGGATGGACACGTGGTCCATGTGCAGCCAGCGGGCCTGAGGAGCTTCATGGAAGAGCATGCACTTGCCTTTTTACGTACCTAGAGACATAGCTGATATCCTTGTCCAAAGTAGTAACCTAAATGAGCCCCCAAGCCTTCCTCTCAAAGGCAAGTAAGTTGAAATGAGAAAATAAACACACACACATACATATATATATAAAAATATTACACATGCATATACATATATACACATAACATGTACACACATACATACACATAGACACAAAACATATACACATATAAATATACACACTTTTACAATATACATATATACACATATATATAAACATTTATATACACATGCATACATATGCACACAGATACACATATACACACATAAACACATGTACACACCCCCCATATGTACATACATACACACACACAAACACGCGTACATGTACATAATGTACATATACCAACGTACATATACCAACGTACATACACATGTGCAAACACGCACAACACACATATGCGTGCCCATATACATGTATATGTACATGCATACAATACACACATACACATGTACACACATTCATACATGTACACAATACAGTGCATATATGCATATATGTATACATATACATACTTGCACAAATATATATACGCATAAAACGGTACACATACACACATATACGCATATACAGACATATGTACATGCACATTCATGCATGCACACAGATATACACAGATATACACACATGCACATACACAATATTCACATATACACACATACACACACACACATGCACACACCCTAATTAACCTCTTGAGAGGCATCATAATATAGTGGGTGGAGCATTAGACTTGGAGTCAGGAAAACCTGAGTTCAAATCCTGCCTCAGTTTCCTTTTCTGTAAAGTGGAGGAGCTGTGGTCCCTTTTGGTTCTAGATCTCTAGTACAATGTGGAAGAAGCAAGTCACTTAACCTCCCTTTGCTCCATTTCTTCCATGGTCAGGCTTTTCAAGCCCTTCACGACCTTTTCAGTCTCCTTACGGCTTTACTCCCTTCCATTACTGGAGATACTGGCCTGTTCTCTCTTTCTTGCACATAATACTATCCTCCAGACTTTTACCCTAGTGGTGCCTCCCCCAGGCCCTCCTTCCTCACCTCACCCTCCTGGCTTCCATGGCCTCTTTTCAAGACTCAGTTTAAATCCCACCTCCTGCAGCAGGCAGGTCTCCCCTCATCTTCAAAGTCCTTTCTTCTGAGATTACCTCCCACTTACCCTGTATTTCTCTTATATGTACATAGTTGTTTGCATGTGTTTTCTCACATTAGAATGTAAGCTCTTTGAGGGAAGGGACCATGTTTTTGCCTTTCTTTGTATCCTTAGTGCTTAGCAGAGTGCCAGGCATGTGGTAAGTGCTTAATAAATACTGTTGCTGTTGTTGGAAATTGATGAGGGAACTAAACCTCTGAGGTTCCTTTCTAACTCTCGATGGAGAATCCTTTGTGTGACCTTGGGTAAGTCATTTCTTTTCCTGGGGCCTCCACCTCCCTTCCAAAATTAGGGGGTTTTAAAATGTGATGGCCTGCAAGATCTTTGGCCCTATAGCATCATCCCACTAGTCAGGGGTGGGGAACCTATGGCCTCAAGGCAACATGTGGCCCTCTAGGTCCTTGGGTGCGGCCTTTTGACTGAGTCCAAGTTTTACAGAACAAATCCTTTTACTAAGGGGATTTGTTCTGTGAAGTTTGGATTCAGTCAAAGGGCCGCAGTTGAGGATCTAGAGGGCCACATGTGGCCTTGAGGCTGCAGGTTCCCCACCTCTGTGCTAGATGATTTCTGAACAGCTAGGTGCTAGTGGGTCTTCTAGCTAGCTTGCCAAATCAGTTGGGCTGGTGGGTGGACTTTGCTCCCCTCATTAAGCATTATTCTTTTCCCCTCTTTGATAGGGTGCTCCGGGTGACCGAGGCTCACCTGGACTTCCTGGGCTCCGTGGGCCTCCTGTGAGTAACTAGCAATGTTTTGCTCTTAATCTGTGGAGCACTGTACATTTGTCTGTTGGCTGAATGGAAAATCAATTTTTTTTGTGCCTTCAGGGTCTTCCTGGTGGTATGAAGGGTGAAAAAGGCCAGCAAGGAGAACCTGGCCAGAAAGTGAGTCTTATGAGCTTAATAAGATGATATAAGTGGGCTGTGACAAGTCATTTTCTTTTCATCTGAAGCCAAATGTCTGAAATTAATATATACATATACATCACATATACATATGTACACAATACACACAGATATACATACATACACACAAACACATATGCAGATATACATATAGACATACACTCATACATACATACACTATACACACATATAGACACACATTCATACACACATACTCAAACAGTCCCCAGTTCTAAAGATGTTTGCAGTATCCCAAGGTGGGGTGGGGGTGGGAGAAAATGATTAGCTTCCAGTTGCGTATTTCTGTTCTAACAAAATCCTTATTCCCTTTTTTCTCAAAATCTCTTTGTGTGATGAAGGGTAGGCCAGGCAGAGATGGAGCCAGTGGCCCCCCGGGCATGCAAGTGAGTAGCCACTTGGCATGGGGGGAGGTGTGGGAGGAAGGCCTCAAAGCATAGGGGCCAGGGGCAGGGAGAGGCTTAGTTAGCAGTTCCTGCTTACACAAATGCCAGGGACCAGGGTGGAGAGGGCATACATTTATTTGTCTCCTTCTTTTTCCAAGTTTCCTTTCTTAGAGCACTCCTCCCTGTCCACTGTACCCCGCCCAGTCTCCTTATATAATGCACACCCCCAACCATCTTCCAAAAGTCATGGGCCATGCCTTGCCAAACGCCCTTAGGAAAACACATCCTGAGTTCAAAGTTAGCTGTGGTCCTTCTAGTAATATTTTAATGAGGTTTAATACTAGAGCAGGCCCTGTGATTTGCTTTCTTTGTATACATTTTCCATAGTGCAAATGCAGAATTACTGCAGTGTGGAGTTTCCTGGATCTCTGGTAATTGCCAAGGTCATTTTTCAAACGAACAGCAGGTGGCGCAAGAGCTACTTACAAAGGAAAGAGCCAGGCTCCCCGCCCTTCCCCTGTATGGTGCAAGGAACGGGGGCTTAGTCCTGATAGGTTTTCTCAATGTGTAATTGCCTGATTCAGAGGGGTGGGCGAGGTAGACTACACAGAGGAAGGTGCTGATGAATCAGGAGGCCATGTTGTCTGAAGCAGGGAGAAGCTGGGGTGAGAGGAGTTCTCTGATCAGCTTCTAGGTTCCAAACCTGTTTGGGCGTCAGGGGAGAGAGAGAGGGAGGGAGAGAGAGAGACAGAGAGAGAGACAGAGACAGAGAGAAAGACAGAGACAGAGAGAGAGAGACACAGAGAGAGAGAGAGACAGAGAGAGAGAGAAGAGAGAGAGACAAAGAGACAGAGACAGAGAGAGACAGAGAGAGACAGAGAGAGAGATATAAACAGAAAGAGAGACAGATTCAGAGAGGGAGGGGAGAGAGAGAAACAGATAGTTACAGAGATTGGGAGAGGGGGAGAGAGACAGAGACAGACAGAGATGGGGGAGAGAGAGAGACAAAGGGAGAGAGAGAGAGAAGAGAGAGAGACAGACAGAGACAGAGCGACAGAGATAGAGACAGACAGAGACAGACAGAGAGACAGAAACAGAGAGAGAGAGAGAAAGAGAAGGAGAGAGAGAGAAGAGAGAAAGACACACACACAGAGACACCGAGAGAGAGAGAGACACAGAGAGAGAGAGAGAGACAGAGGCTCTCAGCAGCAGCGAGGGTCTGGGCGGGAAGGGGAGAGCTTGGGAGGAGGAGGGCAGTGACTGAGGATGAGTCCAGAGGGCAGGTTTGGCATCGTGCTCCTTCCCTTGGCTTTGGTCAGGCAGGGAGAGGGAAGAAGCAGCCTGCTTTGGGGAGGGCATAGGGAGGAAACCTAGGATACTAGGCCCAGAACTGTCAGGGAGGGGCCCCAGAGGACACCAAGTCCAACACCTTGATTTTATAGAAAGCCTAAGGAAGAGGTCTGGGATGAAGGGCCTGGGGTTCAATAATCCCTGAGGGTACACTGGAGAGTAACAGGACAGGGTTAGGGCTGAGTTTATTATGAGGGGTTGGAGTGCTGGTGGCCCTCCCTGCTGATTTCCCACTCCCACCCCCAGATGATCTTGGGCAAGTTTGCATCCAAACATTCTGCCCAGGTGGGTAGGCATAAGCAGGACTGAGAGAGAGGTGAGACTTCTGACGGCCATGGGATCCAAGGCAGCAAGGAGACAGGAGAGCCTTGCCTCGGTTTCCCCATGGTAGTTGCAGCTCAAACTCAATGATCATGTCTTGCCTTACCTTCATGTTTCTAAGGGTGCTCTTTTTCCCTTTCGTCTCCAAGGGCTTGCCTGGTGATCCTGGTATTCCTGGTAAACCTGGAAGGAGTGGCGAAAAGGTAAACATTGGGCACCAAGCTATGGTTCTTTTTAATACATCTAATCTTAGTCTCAACCACGGAGTAAATTCAAAATGGGAATGTTCCAAGACACTGGATTATGTAATTCCTCTCCAAGTTAGAGAATCATTGTAGTTCAGTGGTCAGAGCAATGGCTTGACATCAGAGGATTTGGGTTCAAATCCCATCTCTGCCTCTTACTACCTGTGTGTGACCTTGGGCAAGTCACTTCATGGCCCTGGGACTCAGTTTCCCCCTCTGAGAGGGCCTTTCCAGCTCCAGAGTTAGGATCCTATGCTCCCATGAGCCTCTGAGTTCATTTCCATTCCCTTAAATTGTTAACTCATAAGGAAAAGGCAAAATACTTATTTGATTTTAAACAAAGCATTCCCATTGTGAAAAGAATGATTTAGTGGGCCTTGGGCAATGGCCCACCAGAAGTGGGGACTGGGAGGGATTTTCATGGCCCATCTTTGAAAGCATCCTGCCTGGTTTGGGCATAAGAGCAATCCCCCCCCCCCCAGCAAATCAGTCATATCTATCAAATGGTTGTTTGCAAGTCTAGGACTCATTCTTTGCAAATGCTTCCATGTTTCCTTTGGAGCCTCACTTTGACTAAGGCTATTCATTTAGGGATTCTGTAAACACTCTGAGAGACAATCAATCAATCAACAAGTATTGATTAAATGCTTACTGTGGACCAGGGACTATGGTAAAGGCCCAGGATACAAAGAAAGATAAAAACAGGCAAGTGTGGGAATAGACAGTCAGGCAGCCCCGGGCCTAACTCAGGCCTCTCATACTCAATAACTGCGTGCTCCTGGGTAAATAACCCCTCAGCGCCCCAGGCAACTGCACAGCAGGTGCCCTGTCATCCTTGAAAAAGGGAGTATCCTCTTCTGGAAGTTCCCTCCACCAAGCCAAAGAACAAAAAATGATCACGACCAAGATTGAGCCTGGAGAGGAGTTGATAAAATGCCCCTACCTCCGTTTTTGTTTTTGTTTTTTTTTGCAGAGATGGGGGGGTGTGCTATGTGCATGAAATACCACATAAATAATCGGAGCTCAAGTGGACTATGGCCCTGTCAAGCCCCACCTTCCCATTTTACAGAGAAGAAAACTGAGGCCCAGAGAGGGGAAGGCATTTGGTTGAGGTCTCTCTCAGAGGTGAGATCTTGAACTCATGTCCTCTGACTCATAGGCTCCTGGATCTGGAGCTGGAAGGGATCTCTGGCCATCAAACCCAACCCTCTTATTTTATGGATGGGGAAACTGAGGCCCAGAGAGGTGGTAGGTTCCTCTTCTTTGGAGGCTGGACAACCACCTGTTGAGTATGTTACAAATAGAGATTCTTTTCCTGGATGGGTGGGCTAGATAGCTTCCAAACCTCTGGTTGCTTCTGTAAAGAAATCTGGCCAAGCTCACACAGCTAGGTATTGATGGTGGGGTTTGAACTCATTTTTTTTTTTTTACTCATAGGCTTGTAAAAATCTGGAGCTGGAAAGGACCTCATAAGTAATCAAAGCTAACCCCCTCTTTTTGCAGATGAGGAAACTGAGGCCCAGGGAGGGGAAGGGCCTTAGTCTAAATAAAACAGAGAGGAAGCAGCAGGGGCAGGCTTTGAGCCTGACTCCAGGGCCAGCACTGTTTCTCCTGTGCTCGGCTGCCTCCCACGATGTATCGATCGGCTTTGCTGAATCACTTGTTTTTGTCTTTCTTTTCTTTCTTTCTTTCTTTTTCTTTTTTTTTTTTTTAATCTCTGTTAAGAGGGATGGCTCGCTTGGTGAGGGGAGTGTGGTGGGAGGGGAGGAGGGATAGAGTCACGACTGGAGGTGACAAAAAAACAAAATAAAACACTAGAACGGAGCTCTCTTTTCTAAACAGCAGAGAGAATATACACAGTATAAAAATCCTCCAGTTCTAAGAGACCATAAAATGTCTGCTGCCAGGCTAGAGAAATGAGTTCAGCAGTATAGGAAGAAGGGTGTTCGCCTGTGGAATAAGATTTCAGGCCCCTGGTCCCTGATGCTGCCGCAGATTTCTGCATGGCCCTGCAAGGTCTTTGTCTTGCTAAGCTGTGACCATCTTAATTCCTCACTGCAGCGTCTAAGGGCAGAGCCGAACCAAATCGGCGGCATGGATTATTGGCCGCCGTTGACGACGGGGCTGGAGTCCTCTTGCCGGTCTTCGATCTCTGTCTTTTGTCTAAACAGCACGTCTGGGACCTTCCTCACCCTCTTCCCGAAAAAGTTATGGGATGCCATTAAAATTCACCTGTAGAACATGCCTCTGGTACCACCCACGTTTTTATTCCTGTTTCTAGAGTGCCGACCGACAAGCTAACACTCGGCTGCTTTAGTATTCTAGGGTGTCAGACCTGGGGTGGGGGGTGCTTAGCAGTCTTGAAGACCATCTCCCTCATATTACAGGTGAGAAACTGGGGCCCAGTAGGTCATTCATTGATCAGGGGCTCGGAGCTGCTCCCTGGCAGCCCCAGAGTAGAGCCGAGTTCGGCTGGCCGACACCCCTGGCCATGACTGCAGGCTACCTTTCTTTTGTTGGTGGTTTGTTCAAGGCTCCTGACTTTATAAAAACCACTGCATCTCTCTCTCTCTCTCTCTCTCTCTCTCTCTCTCTCTCTCTCTCTCTGTCTCTGTCTGTCTCTCTCCCTCTCTCCCTTTTTTCTCTCATTTTCTCTTCTCTCTTTTTGTTTCTTTCATTTCTTTTCTTTCTTCCTCTCTCTTTCCTGCTGTCCTCCTCTCCTTTTCTTTTTTCCTTTCTTCCTCTCTCTCTCTTTCCTCCTCTCTTCTTTCTTTTTCTTTCTTTCTTTCCTTCCTTTCTTCTTTCTTTCTTTCTCTTTCTTTCTTTCTCTCTCTCTCTTTCTTTCTTTCTCCCTTTCTTCTTTCTTTCCTTCCTTCCTGTCTTTCACCTTTAACATGCCTTTCAGTAATCTGCTTTTAAATTTTAACAGGGTCAAAAAGGTGATACTGGCCCTGCCGGCCCACCTGGACTTGTAAGTTATGGGATTTTCCCCCTCCTTTTGTTAAGTTTTAGGTTTTTGGAGTACTCTCTCCCTCCCTGGCCCCGCCCCACCCAGTCTCCTTATATCACAGACAACCCAATTCCTCTTCTCAAATCAACCAATTCATCACCAATCCTTTAGGAAGCACTCCCCGGGTTGCCAGGCACCAAGGCTCGGCATTGGGTGTAGGGGTTACAAAGGAAAAAAACCAAACCAGCCCCTCCCATCACCAAGTTGACATTTTCTCAAGGGAGATGACCTTCTCTAGAGGGAAACATGACAATCAGTCAATCAAGAAGCATTTTAGTGACAGCCTACTATGTGCCCTGAGCTAGGTGCCTGGGCCAGAGAGACAGCAATGCAGTTGAGCTTCCATTCCCTCAGGGGAGACGCCGCTGTATTCACAGTACAAAGAAGGTAAAATTTCCAGTGCCTCCCAGTCCCATGAAAAAAGAATTGCGATGGGCTTTATGTGAACATTTTAGCAGTGGCCTAATCCTCGAGGAGGCCTGTGATTTGCTTTCTTTGTGTAACTTTTCCATGGTACAAATGCAGAAATACAGCAGCCCTTGTTTCCTGGGTCTCTGGTAATTGCCAAGGTCGTTTCTCAAATGGCCAGCAGGTGGCACAAGAGCTACTTACTAAGAAAGAGCCAGGCTCCCCTCCCTTCCCCTGGAGGGCCCCAGGGAAAGATGGATTTAGTCCTAATAGGTTTTCTCAATTTGTAATTGCCTGATTTCAGACCTCCCCAGCTCCGAGTGTGTGCTTTCTGGGCGCCCTTAGTAACAAATGTAGAAAATGGTTCCGTGAAAGGCTAATTGTGGGATTTAGGGATTTTCACTGTGAAATTGACATTCCCCAATGTATTTCTGACTTTGTTAAATTTAATTGCATAGGTTTCAGTTGTTCTTTATTTGGCCAAAAGTTGGTGAAACTTTAAACTCTGAGAGTGAATTGAAGCCGTGAGGGGAAGGGAAGCATGAAAGCTTATGTTATGTATGCAGACATTGAACTAACATGGCTGGACGCTGCCTGCCTGCCAGGAGGGCAGTGAGCTTGGGAGGGATTCTGCAAGGAGAGAGAAGATGGGGTCCTTGCACTCAAGGCAATTAATGGACTGGTTTATATTTTCCTCCTTTCTCTGGGACTGTCAGAATTCTGCCTATGCAGTTCCTGGGGCTTTCCTTTCACAAGATTGCAGGTTTCGAACTGCAGCCTCAAAGGCCCTCTAGTCTACCCCCCCCCAATTTAACAGAGGGGGAAATGAGGCCCAGGAAAGGGGAAGGGACTCATCCAAGATCACACATAGGATCCAACATCTAGAGATGGAAGATGGCCATGGAGTTCAATCCCCCTTATTTTACAGATGAGGAAACTGAGGCCTAGGGGGAAAGTGACTTACCTACAGTCACACATAGATCCGAGATCTAGAGATGGAAGGGACCTCAGAAGTCATAGAGTCCAATCCCCCTCATTTTATAGATGAGGAAACTGAGGCCTGGGGGAAAAAGTGGCTTGTCACCCAGGCAGTAGTAAAGCAGACCCCGGATATGAGCTGGGGTTCTCTGATCCAAGTTCACTGGTATTTCCACTTATACCACGATCCTTCCATTTGTCCCTTGCTACCTTGGGCAAAGCCAGTGACCTTTCTGAGACTCACTTTTCCTCAACCAGTGCTCTTAGCAGGCCAATTGCCCTCCTTGGTTTGGGGGCTTAGGCCATCAGTGTTTTTCCCTAGATGTGGTACTCATAACTGAACCCTCTTCCGACACTGGGAAGTGCTGGCCCTGCTGGAGAGAACGGGCCACTGGTATCCAATGAACTTGGCTGTCACAAGGTTCTTCCATACATGTTACAAATAATATTTTCTAGAATCACAAAACTGGGAGATCTAGAGCTTGATTATCCAACCCAATTTCCCCTTCAAAGATGTAGGAATTGGGGACCAGAGAAGTCGAGTGACTTGTCTAAGGCCACGCAGCCAGGCCCTGGCAGCGCCAGAGCTGATCCCCAGTACCCTGTGTCATTTTGTTTCCATTTAGTCTCTTTCCCTATTTTCTATCATTACTGGAGATGGACTAGGGCTGAGCATTCTCCTCCCTATAATACCTATCCATTTTCTGGGAAGCTTCTTTTAACTCTATCTCCCACATTTATGAAATATCCCCAGCACATGGAACATCAGGTATAGATAGTGAAGAGCTCTGGAGGAAGTCGAAATATACAAGGCCTCAAAGAGCCATCATTCTAATGGAGGAGACAAGTACGTCTGGAAATGCATGCCAAATAAATATGGAGGGACTAAACATTAGATTCAAGGTAGTGTGGGAGGGAGGGCTCTCAGCACTTAGGAGGCCTCCAAAAGGGTGATGCTGGAACTGGGTCTTAAAGCAAGACAGGGATTCTCTGATGGATATGTAGTAAGTACTCAGCACAACCAGCTGGAGCTGCCTGGACCCTCGGACATGCTTACTGTGCCTTGCAAAAAAACGGTTTTTGAAATCAGAAGACCTGGGTTTAACTCCTCGTCTGACACTTATTTCCTGTGTGGCTTCAGGCAGTTTGAGGCAATCGGGGTTAAGTGACTTGCCCAGGGTCACACAACTAGTAAGTGTCTGAGGCTGGATTTGAACTCAGGTCCTCCTGACTCCAGGGTTGGGCAGTCATTAAACCTCCCTGGGCCTCAGTTTCCTCCTCTTTGAAATGGAGGGATTCAACTACATGATTTCTGAAGTCCCTTTCACTTCCAGAGCTATGATCCTGTGTATGACCCTGGATAAGTGACTTGATTTCCCTGGGCCTCAGTTTATCCCTCTGTAAATAAAGGGAGTTGGACTTGATGGCCTCTGATGGCCTTCCAGCTCTAAATCTATGATTCTATGTGTGACCTTGGATGAGTCCCTTCCCCTTCCTGTGCCTCAGTTTCCCCTTCTGTAAAATTAAGGGAGTTGGACCAGAGCGCTTCTGGGGTCACTTCTAGCCCCATTTCTAGGATCCTTGCTATATTCTGCTGCATTAAGGTGGATTTTCCAGAGCAAATTTGATTCCCTGTTTATTGAATTCTTACTATGTCAAGGCATTGAAGTGGATGCTATAGGAGAGACAGATCTGGGCTTCCTAGCATCCTATGAGGCCTAGAGACCTTTGTCCAAGGTCACAGAGGTAGCAAGTGACAGTTCTGACATCTGTAAGATGAGAGGGTTTGACCAGAAGTCCATTATAGTTCTAGGTCCCTCATCTTAAGAGGAAAGGAAGAAAGAGGACCCCAAATTGCTATGCTAAGGGCAGAGGGGTATGCAGAGGCTGACAAGGAGTTTGACTTAGCTCTAGTGATAAGTTACTGGCTGGGGGTAGAAAGAAAGGACATCACTGGAATTGGGCATGTCTTACTATAGAGCCTCAGAATCAGAAAAATCAGAATCAGAAAAAGTTGAGGAATTTGTATTTGATAATGTAAGGGTTAGGGAGTCATTGCCCATCATTGAGCAGGGGAGTGACCCAATGTTGGTTGATGTTTGAGAAAGCATTTCCTCCTATTTGTGGAGGATGGCTTGGAGTCGGGGGGAGGCTCAGTTAGGACATGTACAGAGGTGAAGGGAGGAAGGTACTTTTGGATATCGAAAAGCTGAGAGAACCAGTGAGGGAAGGAATGGCTATAGAGCCCATTGACAATGGTGGTGGGTAGGTCTGATGGGAAGCGGGATGATTGTAACGTAGAAATCACCATCTGAGTAGTGGGTTTAACAGTTTGCGTTGAAGTTCCTCCTGGAAATCCTGCTGCTCCATGGTCCTCCACATGTGTCCACACCCTTTGGACATCCTGGAAAGTTGCTGTGCTAATGCTGTGCTAAAGTCTGGTCTCCATCTCCCTTCCTTCCCCGTTAACACTTACGAGTCTTCACGTTCCTGTTATAGGTAATTCCTTGGCCTGGGACTGGCGAAAAAGGGAACCTGGGCTTGCCTGGTTTGCCTGGAGAGAAAGGAGATCAAGGATTCCCTGGGGTACCAGGTCTATCTGGCCTTCCTGGGCCTCCAGGTAAGAAATGGTGCCTGAGGTCAAAGATCTTAGAACATCTCGTGCAGACCAATGGATCAGTTAGTCAATTAACAAGCATTTCTTTATTAAGTACCTACTGTGTGCCAGGCACTGGAGACACAAAGACAAACTAAAACAGTCCCTCCTCTCAAAGATCTCAGAATCTATTCAATCAATCAGTCAATCAACAAGCACTTATTAAGTACTTACTATGTGCTAGGTACTATGCTAGGCAGTAGAGAAATACACAAATGAACCAATCTCTACCCTCAAGAAACTATATTCTAAATGGAGAGACAATAAGCACATATATAAATGTATACCCCAAAGTGTTAAGAGAATAAATAGAAAGTAATCAAGGAGGGTGGGCATTCATAATTGGGGGGGAATCAGGAAAGGTTTTGTGTTAGAATTCAGTCAAAGGGCCACATATGGGCCACATGTGGCCTGGAGGCTTCAGGTTCCCCACCTCTGTTCTAGAAGGTTCAGGAAACATTCAACACGACTAGCTTTTAAGGATTTGGGGGGGGGGTAATGAATAAGCAAGATAGTGTAGTGGAAAGAGGGAAGGATTTGGAGTCAAAAGCCCTGGGTTCAAATCCTAGCTCTTCCAGGATCACCTGTGTGACCTTGGGCAAGTCACTTCCTTTCTGTGAGCCTCAATTTCCTCCTCTCTAAAAATGAGGGAGGTTGGACTCTATGGCCTCTGAGGGCCCTTCTGGCCTTAGATTCTAGGAGCCTATGTGTGACCTTGAGCCAGTCACGTTCCCTCCCTGGGCCTCAGTTTCTTCATCTATAAAAGGAGAGGGTTGGACTCTATCCGTGAAAGGGACAGTTAATGAGTTATTTGATTTCAGCTTCCTCTCCCACCAAACCTCTTGACAAGAAGGTCGATGAACACATTTGAATTGCATCTTTTTTACCGTCTTGGCCCTTGGTGACCATTCATCACCAAACAACTCAATTGAACCTCTCGTGTATTCCTGGCACTGTTAGGTGCTGGGGAGAAGGATAAAAATGAAATTGTTCTCACCCTCAAACGGCTTCCGTCCTACTGGGGGGAAACACACAGACACAGACTAGTCAAAATAATTTTGTCTGCACTGGTCCTGTCATTTCATTGGCATTAGGGAGTTCCCAGGGAGGGAACTCCCTTTACCAATGCAGATCAGTACCTGTGCTACCTTAGCCTTAGAGCCTAATTGCTTAAATGACTTGCCTAGGGTAATACATATGTCAGAAGTGACACGTGACCCCGGGTCTTTCTGACTTAGGAATTAGCTCTCTCTCTCTCTTTTTTTTTTTTCCCAGCCAAAGACAAGGTTTATTAGAACATTTGTCATATTGGGCAGACTCTTAAGGAGTCTGAACATTAGTAGGAATTAACTCTTTTTTTATATACTACACTTGTCTCTTTGGGGTTTTTTGGACCAGACCTGTGATTTCATTGGTATAGACAACTCCCAGTGAGAAAGCTTCCTCTCCCAATGCAGATCGGTACCTCTTTTACAACTTAGAGCCTGGGGCACTGAGAGATATCAAGGTGCAGGACTCGAACACAGGACTTGTTGGCTTTGAGGGCAGCTGCCTATCCACTAAGCCATGCTGACTACACACATATTCAGTATATAGAGTCATTTCCACAGGAAGGATGCGATTTGTTAACAATTCATCAGGGCACCACGAAAGGGTGGGGCAGAGCGGTCTGGAGACATGGGAGGAACAGGGCTGCCATGGATAGGCATGAGGGATCTGGGAATGGTGGCCAGATAAGGGAGCTTCTAATTCAGAAACATGGATACTGAGTGGAACCAGAGGGTACCTAGGAGGCTGTGCCTGAAGCACCCCCACCCCCATCTCTTTGCTAATGCCCTCTTGTAGGGTTGGGCTACTGGCGACCTCCACCTATGATTTCCCATAATGATGTTGCCAAGCTGGAAATCTTGGGTGATCACCACTGCATTGAATAGCCATTCTGGGCTCGAGCCTAGGGGCATTCTGTCTGAGCAGCAGTAAATATGCCTGCTGCCATCCTTCTCCATTCGGGGAACATATCCTCATGTTTATGCTGAAGTGAGATTATGGAATGTATAAAACCTGTTCTTTGGGCTCTCCAAAGCTATTTGGCTAATGGAATCATCATGCCGTGTACCCAGTAATCCTCCGGAGAGGCCTACGAGGAGAAATGTCATGGCCCTACCCCAGCATTGTGTTAAGCTGGCAACTATGTCAGTTTAATAAACTGGTGGATTATGGTGTGGATGTGGAGATCACAGAGGTGCAGGCTGGGAGGGCCACCTGGAGGCCAGCTAGTCTGGGCCCCACCTCCCACCAGGACTGCCCGCAGCCCGTCTCAGATCGATGGTGTCTGTCTGTTTTCTTTTTAATGGTCCCCAGAAACTAGTTCCAGGATTTGAGTTTGAGCCTTTCTGAGCTTGCGAGAAATGTAATTATTTTTGTGTCAAATGAGGAAAGGCAGAGATTTTTCAGCACATTTCTAAAAGCATGGAGCACACTTTGAAGATTGTTCTCTCTGCCACCTCCAAAGGTGATTGAAATGTTGACACTTCCCTCCTTCTTCTCCCAAAGTAGAAAATAGCAATATAACCTGGCGTGCGGGCTAGGGTGAAGGACGGATTCTGCCATTACTTGCTATGCTAAAGAGATTGCAAGTAGCCATTGTAACATGCTAAGGCATTGTTCATTGTAACATGTGCTTTTCCTTGTCTAGGGATCACTGTCACAGGCCCTCCTGGACCCCCTGGCTTTCCTGGGGAAAGGGGTGAGAAGGGAGCTAAAGGTCTGCCTGGCATTGCCATACCCGGACAGCCTGGACTTGACGGGCGACCTGGGGTTCCTGGTCTCCCTGGGACTCCGGGCAAACCAGGACCTCATTTCCCTTCTAGTAAGTGGGATGTCTGCTCTTCCCCCACTTTAAATCTAAAAGAAGCCTAGTGCCTAGCAAAATGGATGGATCTTGCACCCTCTTTGTGGTCTATTACTCAATCAGCAAACAATTATTAAGCACCTACTGTGTGCTGGGCACTGTGTTAGGCCACAAAGATACTGTTCAGTAACAAAACCAAGTATCTCTGCCCTTAAGGAACTCATATACCACCGACCACCTTTGTTATCTGAAGGATTCTGCTGCCACCCCTGTGTTGGAAATCGTTGGGGAAGTCCCTGGTATTTAAATTTGCCCTTAGGTAGTTTTCAGAAAGCATTTGTCCTTCCTTCCTTTCCGCCCCTTTGTGGCTGCTTTTAGCTGATGGGTCTGCATTCTCTGTTTACTTCTGCTGACTGTTTACTTCATCATATCGCTCTCCCTGGAAGGAAGTCTTGCCTCTTTTTAACCTGTTGAGATTTCTTTTGGTTTAGTTCAGGGATTTCTAACCTTTTGGGGGTCTCGTGAAACCTGTGGACTCCTCGGAATAATGTTTTTTAAATGTGTAGAAAAAACCCATAGGATTACAAAGGAAACTGATTATATTGAAAATGATGTCATTTTTTCCTAATCAAAGTTCATGGACCCCCTGAAATCTATCCGTGAATCTCTTGGGGATCCTTGGACCCCAGGTTACAAACCCCTGGCTTAGACTCTTGGCTGAGTGGGGACAGCTCCCAAACCCAAACACCATGGGGGCTACTGGTCTTTACTTTTAATTTAGATGGTGAGATATGTGAAAAGGGAGCTCGGGGCCCACCAGGATCTCCAGGGGACAGAGGAATGCCGGGAGAGCAAGGAGTGAAAGGTACAATCCCAAACCTTGGTCTTGTCTTAATTTGCTTGAACTCAGGAAGTAGAGCCCTTTCATTAATTAGGTCCATTAAATTGGGCCCATCAGAGCTGCTGTAAAAAAATACACGCTCATGTTTCTTACCAATGTTTCCAATACAATGCTTTCCAGGAGACAAGGGGGACACCTGCCTCAACTGTATTGAAATTGGCCTTCCTGGATCTCCAGGGCAGCCTGGTCTGCCAGGACCTCCAGGTCTTCCAGGTAGAGTTCTGGGGCCTGCCATCCTTCTGGACTTTTGTTGGTTGTGTTTGAATGTCTGTGAAGAAGTCAAGTCCCTACATGCTAGGAAGAATCTCACCAGAGCTCTGACTTACAGTAGACACCTGGTCTTAGAAGCCTCTGGCATTTTTGCCAACTAGGCCATAGTGGGACTATGGAGATTTCTATCTTCCTTCCTTTCCTCCTTCCTTCCTTTCTTCCTTCCTTCCTTCCTTCCTTCCTTCCTTCCTTCCTTCCTTCCTT